TGAGTTAACGAAGAGGCGCCAACATTCCTTGCATATTTTAGTTTTTTTTTGTATGGATTAACTTGATATGTGATCTTGATTTTAGCAGTACTTATTTAATCATAAGCAGTTGTCAGGAGTGTTATTTAGCTGCATTCCTGAGGCTATGTTCACACTTTACGAGATAGCTTTTGCGCCGTCACGAAAATCATACCATCCGGATAGAGTTTCTATTCACACATAAGAACGGTGATTTCGGCGCGATTTCTGTAACAGAGCGACGCAGCTCTGGGTCGATTTCTTGAGTGGAAAGTCACATGCATATCGGACAGATGTTCATTGTATACAGCTTGATCCGGCTTTTCGTGTCGGCACGAAAAGCTGTTGCCTTAGTCTAGTTCCCGGCTTAGTTTGAGGTTATGCATCACATTTATTAAACGTTTATTAAATATGAAAGAAAGAACTGACTATTTCCAGAACAACTTACCCTTGCTGTCGACTATGTCTCTATTAATGTGTTTTTCCGTTTTCGGATATTGCGTCGTTTATCATAGATTGAAAGCAAGAGAGCGAGAACGGGACGTTCTAAAATCTGCTCTACCTGTCAAGGTCTGTTTGATTATGATATTCATAATTGATTCATAATTGGCAGCTTTCCATTCTGCTCATCTTCAAAATTCAGCCAAATCTTGGCAAAGAAAGCAGTTCGTTTATTTATGCACTGAATTATAATTCACTCTAGTTGTGTATATATGGTTGTGTTTTATGTATTGCAGGTTTTGAAAATGACGGCAAAAAATATATTGATCAATGCAATTTTACAATCATCGCAATGAAGAGAGATGGTGCTATGATCATGGTGAGATGCTGTGGTTTTTGCCCCGCAGGGAATTTGCCCAGAAGGCACTCTAGTAGCTCGCGCCTAATTAAGGAAAGTACTTACAGTTGCAATATACATTCAGGACGCCAGGAAAAATCTCAGGGGCCGCATGGAATCGTTGGGTAATGATGACGTTTCTACGTTCTATTCTATTGTTCGCGCCCGGAAGTAAGAGATGTTTAGGATGACGTAAAAAAGAAAATCCCGAAGGGACCGCTTAGGTAGATTTTGTGACATTTGGTACAGTCACACTTTGATACTCTTTTGCGTTAGGTGTTATCAGTGACATTCTGTGGAGCAGCTGTTTTTTCAAAGTTATGGACCAAAAGACACTCGTTAAGCGCGTTGCGTATAAATGTGTACATATAAACACTTGGAGAGTTTGCCAGAGGTCCCATGGTGTAATGATTAGCACTCTGGACTGTGAATCCAGCGATCCGAGTATAAGTCTCGGTGGGACCTTGAATTAATAGTTCCCGTGTTTTTCCTCTCCTGCAACGCAATTTTTTTTTGTGTGGATATATTGAGCCTGATGTATTCTATTGCAGACGAAGCAAACTAGATTGAAAAAAGTAACCAATTCGTTAGACATCAGCTGCTGAAGGAAAGTCTTGTCCCCTCAGCTGAAAGCACAGTAGCTGAATATAAAAACCATCAAAATCTAGCCAATTCCAATTTTGTTAAAGGTAATACTTTATTTAGGGATTCAAGCTGTTTCATGTTGTCTGTTGCTGCGGTGGGATCTTTTTTGGCGTTGTTGCATACGAAACCCTTTTTCTTCATCTCAGAAACTCATGCATTTAAGGAAACATAAAAGTATGAAATATAAAATGACGCTGTCTGGACATCAAACAGCAAGAATTGATTAATTTGAATTGCAGCCTACGAGTATAGCCGTCGCATTTGCTCTCAGGAATTTCTTATTTATTTCATGTTTTTTCTTGAATAGCCTTTTTCTTGCAAATGATTTTTACTAACAAGGGAAAACTGGCCTTCTCCCGTGTCGCTGAGCAGTCATGTGACGAAACTTTTAAAATGGACTTTCGGCCTCACGATAAGTCACTATTTGTTCAGGCGTTCCCTAGCTTTTCTGTGTCACCTTCAAGCGTCGTGAAAAATGTTTGAATAATCCAAATAAAAGACGTTGATGTTCAGTTGAAGTTGGGAAACACAACATGGCAAAAATTCTGACTAGCATCAGTACACTGTTAAAACGCGTGGTATAGTGGTGTGCATAGCTGCCTTCCAAGCAGTTGACCCGGGTTCGATTCCCGGCCGACGAATTTAGGCGGCGTTCCCTTTTTGCTCGAGTCTGTAACGAGTAGCCTGAGGGAAACTTGCTTGCCTCATGGTTCTAAAAGTTTTGCGGTAGTTCAAACGCATGCAGAAGAAAATAGCTTATTACGGCTGCCTTTGATAATCTTTGCCAAGATATTAGGAAAACGTACAGATAATTTAACGTAAAACCAGGAGGCGAATTTGTATTTTATGACCTACCAGTTTCAATTTTTTGGCCCTATTTTTCACATTGGATTGGGGTTTGAATCCGTCGAAAGCATGGGCTCCTGACGAAAGGGTGTTAAAGTGGAGATGGTGTTCGCCTAGCTGAGGCCCCCTGCCATGCAGGGGCCGAAGCTTTCGAGAAACGGCTCCTGAGGGCTTGTATAAGTCGACGACCTCAAATTTCTGTTTATTTTATTATGATTTTTTTTCTTGCAGCGAGAGATCTTTCTCTGAACTTCGCCCCTCTTCTGAAAAATTTTAATTTATGTTTTTTTGTTATCAGTATACGCGGACAAATAAAAGACTGCTCTCGCGAGAACAGGTGCCCTACGGACCGCAAAAAACTTTCATGGGTCCGATTATGATATTCAGGGTTTAACCAAAAGACAGAACAAACAATATACTTTGTTCACGCGGGAAAACCACTTGCGTGGAGCAGCTTCAAGTTTTGAAGAAAGTGCATTTTTTAAAACTGTTTTAGAAGGAGAAAAAATTAAACTATGACCACTTAAAAAGGAAGAAATCAGCAGTCAAAATTCGAATTTGTGAAGAGTTATATCGCAGACCTTGGGTTACAGTGTTATTATGCCCTTTGAAATTAAAGAAATGATGTACGAAAGCTCAAGTTGGATTCAGAATCATCCCTTCCAGCCATTACCTTAAAACAAAGTAAATCAAGCTGAACTGAAATCGAAATATAGCTAACGGTTAAAACATTGGGTGGGTATTGGAACATCCACTCCACAGGTACTGATATGAAGAGGTGTTCACCCACGATGTTACTTATAATTTAATACGATTTCGTAAGAATTCATTTAAAATACAAATAAGCTTGCTTCAAATCAGTATCAGAACTGTACTAGTGTAGCTGGAATCAACGAAAGCACCTTGCACTAAAAAAGAAACAAAAAAAGTTACATGTAAAATAGTCGACTGGTTTGGCCATGTATTTTGACAGGAACATAATTGCTACTGAGATAAATAGCAATAAACAAGTAATAATAAATGAGTTTTAAGTGATATCCGGAGTATTCAAGGTCGAGTTAAGTGATATCGGCCTCGTTTGATAACACTTGCCTAGATCTTGATTATTAGGAATGTCACAAAAGCCGATTCTAACAATTGTCAGTAAAATACATTGTTTTGCAGAAAATGACCAAAAACTCACTGACGCACGGGAAATGGTTTGGAATCGCTCTTGGAAATCGGGTACCTGCTAACAACTTTCTAATCTGCAGGTTGCGTTGATTTCCAAAATTAAATGTAGGTTCTTAGCCAATGAGAGGAGAAACGGGGAGTACCATGTATAATAACGATAGTAAAATAACTGTGAGGAAATATTGTTTATTTCTAAAACAGAATCATTACTTGGAAATTGCTACCGATTATTCAGGTTCTGAGTCGAATTAAGTCAACAACCAAGTTATAACACGTTTTCATCTTTATTAGCAAATTCCAGTCCAGTGAACAATCTAAATCATTCGTTGTTCTGAAACAAACATGATATCAATAAGTGTTACCACAATTAACATTTATTAACCTATTCTTATTTACGCAAAAATTATTTTTCATGTTGCATTTCGGATTCAGTCGTTTGAAAAACATCACGCATCGACTACATGGATTATACTACACTAAAATGTCTACGATTTCCTGATAATTCCTTAAGAAATTAAAAAAGTCATTCCTTGATAACAATCTCGAGAGGTGTGATGTAGAGCAATGGAGCACCCTTCATGATGGTTTACTTCGACTAAAAGAGAACAAAAAGGGCGGAATATTAGTAATACGTAAAGTGGAAGAAAGTTAGTAAGAGTGATTTTACCATTATTAATGCTATTGCTTCGTATCAAACGCTATTGTACCAGACCAATAGGCCATTTGCACGATGGCGTCATTTACGACCTACGACCAGAATTCTTTTCGTTTTTCTTTTCATATTTAAATTTGATTATCCCAGTGAGGTTTAATTGGCACAAGAAACCAAAACCCTGAGGGGTCCTTGTCATTGTAGTAAAATGACGCCATCATGCAAATGGCCTATTAAAAAGTACTGCTTTTCGCGCACTCTGATTGGCCGCTCTCTGAGGCGTGAGCAAGCCGTAATCAGTGCTTGGAAACACCAACTTAAAAATTGTACGTCGGCCTGACATTTTCACGTTTTGCTTCTCTTATTTCAAAACCCTAATGAACGTTGAGTCCCGTTCGTGCACATTCCCTCTGGGCAGGCCTGTGTCCAGAAAAGCTGGCAAATAAATAGATAGAACGAGACATGTTCGGGATCATTATAAGTTTCCGGGAAACTGCCCACCTACCCTTCCCCTAAGTCAACATTTTGCCTTAAGTGAGAACTAAGTGTTAATTTTGGCTTAGCGGAGGGGTAGGTGGGAAGTTCGAACAATTTCCAGTTATTAAGAGAATATGATAAGCAGCCACTGTTCGGGAGAGGAGCTGCGAAAAAACACGAACGTCTCCGAGAGTGCGGCGGAGATCGAGCCTAATGGACGGACTACGCTTCTCTTAGAAGATTTCCAGTAATACAAACTTTTTTGTCAATTTGCGAGTAGTCACCCCCTGTGAACTTAGCACTGAGGGTCAGTGTTTATTCATCGAAATTTATGGGAGTACCCCCCGGGGTTTATTTGCAGTTGATCGAAGTTTGGCGCACCTGTTTGTCCAGAGCCTTCTGCAATTTGTTTCCAAAGTCAGCATGCACTTTGGAAAAATTAGCCACCTGAAAGTCAACAAGATATACAACTGTGATTATTATGGGATGTAGCCGCCGTAACTGACGGTTTTGTTGGGGAGGGGTTTACGGAAGGGTCAGCGTGAGCGAGCTGGAAGCCGCAAGGGGAACGGAGGAGAAACAGGGCCTTTGCGCGCTCGCCAAACAAACCCGCAAGCAACATGGCTGAGTGGGTTATTTGTAACTCGACAACGGACCGTCAATTACCACAAGGACCAGACTTTAAACGGAGATCTTTCCTTTCCTTTCAAATCTGTCGTCCTAAAAATCCGTCTATATCGACAAAAAAGAATAATTTTCCTGGCGACCCTCAGAATATAACTTTTTCAAGCCAAACTAATTTGTATAATTCAACGGTCAAAATCAAATTGGTGACCTCATGCGATAGCATTGGGCGGAATCAATACATGTAAATAAAACTGACTAGCTTTGATTCAGTCAAAGGAAATGACTTACAGCTCGTTTCTGGATAAATTCCTGAGCATCTTTCAGATGGCCTGCAATGTTGCTTACTAGGCGATCCCTTCCGGCATCATCCAGCACTTTCTCCCAGAAAAGGGTAACCTAAAAATAATGATAGCGAAAATAGAGTTGAAGAAGATAATTGAAACCAACTATCAAGTGCTGATAATCTTATAATCCTCACATACAATATTTTCTTTTACTGGATACTTCACTAAATTTTACCAAAAAACCCATTCACTGAATTTAGGTGCCTGTCAGTAAAAACACCATAACAATCGTAATCAAATTTTCAGATCTTTTTCCAGGCACGGTCGGATATTAACCTAGTTCAACGTCAAATTTCGTTGAGACCTCAAAAAAGGTCAGAAGAGGAAGGGGCCAATCAGTCAATCAATCAATCAATCAATCAATCAATCAATCAATCAATCAATCAATCAACCAATCAATCCACCAATCAATCAATCAGTCAGTCAGTCAGTCAGTCAGTCAATCAATTAGTCAATCAATCAGTCAATCAATCAATCAATCAATCAATCATTCATTCATTCATTCAATCAAATGAATGCAGTTGCAGGAACTCTTCCTCACCTGAGAGAAATTGTCTTCATCTCCAGACTCATAACGCTTGCAGTCGCCAGATGCCTAAAAGATGCAATAACACAGCGTCGTACCTCTAGGTCAGAACATTTTTTAGACTAATTAGTTAATCAATATTAAGGTAAAGACTCTTCAAACTCATAAGGAATCTTATAATCTTCTTAGTTACTTGGAATTTGCTTGGTGCATATTTAGCAACGTCATCCTTGGGACCACTAAAGCTGTTGGGGTAATAATTAGGGCAGCCATCTGAAAAGAAAAAAAAAACACTTTTTAGATCAGACTAAGGCCATGTTCATAAGGCACTGGATGAATTTTCGACAAAATTCTTATTCGTGCGTTTACGTGTTCAGTTTACACGGGTACACGGAGCCAAACAAACCGTACGTAAATTTAGACGGCACCCAGCCGTTCAAACATGTGAACGCCAAAATCGAGGTCAAATTTAGCTGGTACGTCAATGTAAATATTTAATCTGACCAGCCCTTAGCATGATAAGTTGTCTAGCCCCCACGCAGAGGTTCTTAGGACTTTGTCACGTGCTCCTCCCCAACAAGAAACCGTGACTGCACGGGAGGCTACAAGTTGTCGAAATGCTGACTCAGCCCCAGTCGTCTCTCAGTCTTATATTAATGCGCGGTCCCTTCGCATTCATTCCCTTCGGTCACACTTCTAGCGTTCCATCCCCAGCGTGCCGCATGCTATTCAAGAGAGGACTGGGGACGAGTCAGGTCATCCAGGCTCTCCGTCAACCGAGCTATATAACAATACGTAAGTTACATCCGCTTACAACCGATAGCGGACTTACTTTGATTGTCAAATGTCTGTGGTCCATCCCTCTGGTAATTGCACACTCTGGTTTTATAAGGGCAGTTCACTGGCAGCTGGATGTAGTTAGTTCCCAGTCGGTGAAGGTGGGTGTCATGGTACGAGAACAGTCGACCCTGATAAAAATATTCAGTCACAGATGATGAGATATGTTGAAAGAACACTTCCTCGAAAAAAGGTCGTTCATCGAATAACATTGTACATATCAAAAAGGCTTAGTCTCAGGGAAAAATTCGAAATCTAAGAAACGGGGGACGCACGGATCTCGGTTCGGTTGCATTTTAGCTCATTTTGTCCCTTAATATACCTGAAGCATCTTGTCCGGAGATGCTTCAATTCCAGGAACCATACTGGCAGGGTTGAAGGCGCTCTGCTCAATCTCGGCGAAATAATTCGACGGGTTGCGATCGAGGACCATCTTGCCAACTGGGATCAGAGGGTATTCAGAATGTGGCCAGATCTGGGAACAAAGACAGCACAACGCACTCAATTTAAAAATTCTTATCGACGTCAATAAAACTACATGCAAATTAGAAATCTAATTCTATTGAGCTTATGAGGGTCAAAAAGAATGCGACAAAATTTGATGTCAACTGAGAAGATGGAAAGCTAGACATTGCGTAAAAAATTGCTTAGAATAAAAGAGTTGCAGAGCTTTAAAAGGGATTAAATTACTCAGTGATGGTGAAACTGAAAAAAAAAAAATGCCGCATGGAAAGTGGCGTGGCAGGGTTCGAAGAGTAGTTGACCATTTCTTTCATGGTATAGTTCAGTCACAGTATCAGCAGGTTACCTTGGTAAGATCAAATGGGTTGAATGAGGATTTTTCAGCCTGTGCGAAGGTCATCACCTGGATATACATAGTCCAAGATGGCTACAAGAAAGGGAAAATACAATTGTTAATACGCTAGCATATGCAACTGATTGTCAACAGTCTCCTTCCCCTGCAAGTTGTCACTTTTCTGGCATTATACACTGTAATAATGACCCTCTCTATGGGTTGAAGGTACCTGCGAACGTCGTTTTCGTGGCGCGTTTTCCATCAAATCGGCGTTATTTTCAACAAAATAAATCGTCGCATATCAAGAATTGTCTTGCGTGATAACACTATAAGCGAGCTTGACCAACCCCACGACGACGACAACGACGAAACGCGAAAATCAAAAAGGCAAGACAAAACAAAAAATCTGAACGTGCAGCACACGTTTCGGTAGATTTCTTTGCTGCTATCGCACGTCTAATGTTGCCAAACGTCATCGGAATGGCAATACGATCATCGCCAGTAATCTCTAAGATCGACGCTTTATTAATAGCGATCATCGCGACTTCGATTTCATCGGAAAAACCCATTCACATGCTTCTTTGCCATTCAAAAGGGGTCATTAAAGACTGCCCACACTAGTGACAGAAAGTGTAGGGGACGAAGACCCTCATCCTGACTGGTCTGACTGGTCTGTCGTCTAAGTAGAGTATATTTCGGGAAGGGACCGTTTCGTTCCCACAGTAATTAGTGTGAGCTATTGTTATGTCCGCGTTTTGACTGGCAAAACTCGATACAAAACTAACTTCTGATGCAAACAACCCCCTACGAAAGTGAAATTGCTTTCATTAAACTCGATAGTATAGACAAAAAATCAAACGTTCGCTAGCGCATTACTCACGTTCTTGCCATTAGCAATGGCATTGTAAAGCATTCTGTTGTTATAATCTGGATCAGAACCAGCCAACTTCTCTGCTCTCTCAGGGGACAGATTTTTTACTCCTTCATCAGTCTGTCAAAAGAAAAAAAGGAAAGGTTTTTTTTTGCTAATAATATTTATTAATATAAGATTAAAATATTTTTTAATATATCGTAAGATAAAGGAACGATCTGGATCGACGTGGGTCTCTTCTTAGTAGATTTTATATATCATACCCAGCTATACTTTTACTTGAAAGCTCCACTTCTGAAAGAACTAATTTCAGCCAAGTAATAATTGATAATATGAACATGCCGACATCTGATTAATTGCTCCAGCACAACTCCGTCTAATTTTGCTATAGTAAAAAAAAGGTAAAGGCGCACAAGAGCCAAAGGCCCAAACGGCCGGAGCTTATCCCGGTTTCCTTAGCAAGAAGCATACATAGGAGTATTGCCACCCCCCCCCCTCCCACCTAGACGGGATGCTAGTCCATCGCAGGGTTACCCCCCAGCAGTATGTCGCCGGTACCCATTTATACAGCTGGGTGAAGAGAGACAAAGTGGAGTAAAGTTCCGTGTCTAATTAAATAACAACGCGACAGGCGAGGCTTGAACCCCGGACTTCCAGATCCGGAGTTCGAGGTGTTAACTGCACGGGCACACGTTTACACAAGTAGTAAAAAGGATCACAGTAAATTACAACCCCACTTACGATTACAAACACTTAGCATGTTACGCCTTAGCGAGCAAGAAGTAATCGAAACACAGCTTGCATACCTTTGCATGGAATTTGCAGTAGACAGCCTCCCCTTTGTCGTTCACCATTTTGAAGGTGTGACTTCCATACCCATTCATATGCTGGTACCCATCAGGAATTCCACGGTCACTGAACAGGAAGCACACTTGATGAGTGGTCTCTGGACGAAGGCTGATGAAGTCCCAGAACATATCAGGATCCTGCATTGAGGAAACACTCAATATTAGGTTACTATTTTTCGTTTATTGTAACACAACATCTTTTAGAAATACTGTGATTTTTTTGGTTAAAAAGTTTCACGGTTTTAGTTCAGGGTATTCAATGATATCATGTAAAAGCAACGAGAGGCAAATACTCCCTTCTATCTTGTTAGTCTTTCATCTGTCCCTTTTTCGCTGTTCTGTTTTTTTTTCACAGACTTAGGAAAAGCTTTTTTGTGTATCCCTAGTTAACTCGACCGTTCTGTCAACAAAGACCACTTATTAATTAACGGAATCTGAAGGAATCCAATTTAATAATTCTACTTATTGAGGAAGGGTAAATATAACTTCCTGTTTCTTCTACCTGAAATTTAAAAATTGTGTCTACTTACCTTCAAATGTGTTACAGGGTTCCTCTTCTGAGTATGGATGAAGCTTGGGAACTAAAAGTAGCGAGAGATGCAAAATTAAACGAGTGTTAAACGTGATTAAAATGATTAACGTGGTCTGCTTCTTCCCGTGAAAAGTTACAATAAAACAAAGAGGAGTGCCACTACCGAACCAAGGGAAATTATCAACTACAAGTTAAATCACATTTTCGTAGGAGACAGCAGAGTGAGTAAAATAGGCATGCGCAATGCGGATGACTTTGGCACTGGGATTGAGAATCACGTTCATGGCAAACGCCACACGTCACGTCCGTTTTCACATCCTGTTGCATGTTGTTGCGTGGTGTTGGGACTTGTTGCGCAAAGTTTGAAACCGGTCAAACTTTTAGCCATGTGCCGGACGCAACAACTCCCAACATTGTAGGCCAACAATGTTGGGAGTTGTTGCGTCCGTTTGCACGTAGCCTAAAAGTGATTCTTAATCTCTCTAATTCAATCTTCCCTCCGCGTGTTATCTTCCTCATTCTTCCTGCGGGTGGCAATTTTGACGCTTTCTAGTTTACTTCCCTCGCTATGTAGCAATTTTCAGTGAGTTTGTGTATTTCGTACCTTGTATTATCCCAGTGAAAAATAAGGGCTTTTCGTAGTCTAGGGAAATTATTTTTACAGATAAGGAGAGTGAAATGCTGTTCTTACAAAGATTGGATCCCTGATGAAGAAGATGGGGGTGTTGTTTCCAACTAGGTCCCAATTTCCTTCCTCGGTGTAGAACTTCATGGCAAAACCACGGGGATCACGGGCCGTGTCGGCACTGCCAGATTCACCGCCTGAAAATAAACCCAAAAGTATAACTATAATTAACTTTGTTTAAAGTATCTTTAAGCATTTAATATGTCTGATTAGTTTTTGTTATTGGCCATATAAGGCAAGTAAACATGTTTTTCTTTCCTCTGGTGTATATATTAACGAATGAAACAACTGCAGTATAGGACGTAAAATACAGACATTTATAGCGGAAAGGTTGATTATATCAAATCAGTGCATTTTGGTCATAAATTCACTCACCAACTGTTGAGAAGCGAACTAAGCATGGGGTCTTCTTTCCAACGGTGTCAAAGATCTTGGCCTTGCAGTACTTTGAGATGTCATGAGTAACTTCAAAGTACCCAAACGCTCCACCGCCCTTGGCGTGTACCACTCTTTCGGGGATTCGCTCCCTGTCAAAATGACTCATCTCATCCAGGAACTGGACATCCTGCAGCAGTAGGGGTCCGCGGGGTCCCACTGACATGGTGGCGGTCTTAGTGTCGATGGGAGCACCATATCCAGTGGTACAGACGTCTGATATCTGGAAGAACCCAAAATGAGGCCTTATTAGGGATCGGCTGGGATAGGGTTCAATATTAGACATAAAACAGAGGGACGGGATTTTGGGGGAAAAAACAGTTGACGAGATACGGGATATTTAGACCTGCAAGAATGTCCATGATTGTCAAAAAGAGAAAAATAGGGATACGGAGATTCTGGGATATCACGTGTATATAGCTTTACTTAAACTAGAAGTTCTGGGATGTAGAGGGGTCAAAAAGATCTTTCTTGATTGATGCGAACAAGACAATAGGTTCATTGAACGATACATAAGAGTAAACAGCTAGAGCAAGACTCACAAATGAGATGGTTTGCACTTTTGTGTCAAAAGTGGACACGTTTGAGCTCTTTAGGGAGTCTGACCGAGGAAAAGCTTCTCCTTCCTTCGAAATGACGTCAGAATGAGTATTGGGGTACAAGGCATAACGATTAACAGGGGCACCCAACGACAATTTTCGGAAGAATATCTGTTCGGAAGACGATTTTAGATCTAGAATTTTCGGAACATTTGTTGTAAAATTTCTTGCTTGCCTGCCTCTCCTATGATTTTCGAACATCGAAGAAATGGTATAACTGCCTATTTTTAACGGATTTTTACCCTAAAAAGGTCACCTAGAATTTTCGGGAGCCTTTTTTCTGGCTGAAATTTTCGAAATGGTAAGTTTTGATCCCTATAATTTTCGGATCACTAGGCTTTCAGCTAGGAAATCCGAACAGATGAAAATTTTTAGGGGATAAAAATATACCTACATCTACCGTTTAAAGACTAAAATACGTTTAACAGTGCTATGTTTAAGTGGTTTTGAACCATATTCTCGTTGGGTGCCCCTGGATGAATGGGATACATTTACGCCAACTGATACTGGGATATACAGAATCCCTCAGTTGTTTTAGTCCATGCGGTTATGTTTCAGTGCACCATCGTGTTTTTTTCCAGTAACTTCCTTATACTGTTGCCCCATTTGCTAATTAAGCTGTATTGACATAACTGAGAGAACAAGTTTAGTGGCAATAATAACCTTTTCAGAATATCACTGAAATCCTGCAGGAGCCGATTGGTTCCTGAATACTACTATTAATTTTTGCATTTGCATATCCCTCGACCATTATCATCAATTAAAGATAAAACTGTCAGTCCGTAGGTGTATTTATTTCCTGTTAGTTACGGTTATCGTTGTGGGCGGGCAGGAAAGGCGGATATGATATTCAATGTTGTATGGTTCTGTCTTGTACCTTATGTCTTGTCTGATTCACGCCACATTCATTTTGCAAACATTTGTTGTTTTTTTAGTCCCCCCCTCCCCCCCCCAAAAAAATGAGATAAAATGTGAATATTCAATGTTTTATAGTGAATATTAAGGTTTCAAACAGACGATTCGTGCGATTGGGCGATTCGTGACCTATACCTAAGCGATATTACGTCATAGATCAAACAATGATCCTGATTGGCTTAGCTATTTGCCTAATCGGTGCATATTAATTAGCTATTCGATGTCACGGAAATATCGTAACTTCTTCAGGGCTATCTTTTTAATCAAATGCTTGGTACAAATTGCCTTGAATTTAAAGGCCGAGATCAGGATAGCAGAGCTCGCACGAATTTGTCTAAAACATGACAATAGGCCAGGATTATAAGCAGTAATCCTGCCATCTATGAGTGGAAACAATCTTGTGTCAATGTTGGAGGTCACGAGATGTTTTGAGAGGTGTGTTTTAGGCGTAGCAAGGGCCAGCACCTGAAGGCGTCTCATCGCTGTGAAAGTCACAACATCAAATTCATGTAACAGGCATGACGAAATGAAAAGTAAATTGACCGACTTACCTCTCTGACGACTTATGTAAAGAAAGCGAACATACAAAGCAAACACAAATAAATAATTCAGAAAAATCAATGGTGGCTGCATGGTATGGGGAATGGACAAAGCAACTGAACGAGCTACAACTAAAGGAACCATAGAACTTACTCCTAGGTCGCTTTGAAAAACTGAGCAATTTACTTGTCAGTTTCGAGATTTTTTGTCGTATTTTGTTTCGAAATGATTCATAAATCGTGACGTCTTGCATTACATCCTTCACTAGTCATTGTACAAAAGGCAACTGCGATCAAGTTTCTCTGACGAAGGCATTGAAATTCCGAGTGAAAATCATCATAATTAGCATACATTCTCTTCTACTTTATTGGTACTTTACTTTATAGCGACGTAAATGTACGGGAGGTATCAATCAGCTGAAGAGGTTCCGAGCATTCGCTGCATTCGTGCAAACGATACGCAATAAACTAGCAAAAGCAAAAGATGCGCACGCACTATGTAACAATCTGGAAGAGTTTTTGCCTCGAAACTTGAAAGAAAGGCCAAGGAAAGAAAGCTGTCGAACAGAGAAGCAAGTGTACGAAGTTCTTTTCACTGGTGGCGTCGATCCCTCCAAGACAAATACGTAAACAAGAAATTAGTAAACAAAAACGAGCATTGCCACAAACCTTTTTTGCCGCAGCAAAATCACTTAACTGTTCCGATGCTTTTGTTCTGCTGGCCATTCTATGGCGGCTTTTTCAAAGATTTTTTCAGCTTTCAAACACCCCTTCTTCGTGCGTGGCAGAGCCTTTGAGATCCCAGGCTAAGTGACGTCGTCACGTTTAAAGCCCACTGTGAAACTGCTTTGCACATTTGATATTTGACATGTCACGCACGGACGAAGGCTTTAATTCAACAACAACGAGCTGTTTTTGCATGACCAGACAAGTACATACAGTATTGCAAAAGCTATTTTAATTGTCACTCACTCGAGACCACTTATCATACTTAATGTACTTAGTTTGGCAGTTAATATTGGCATCGCCTCCAAGTTCCGACACATTCAAGTTTTTCGAAATAGTGAGGCTAGCAGAGATTGACAGAAAAAGTTAGGTAGGGACCTGTTAGGTTAGCGGGTAGGTACCAAAGCTAGGCATAGATTAAAGATAATTGCTTTTTCATAATATAAAACTGTTTTAAAGGTCAGTTGTCATAATGTGTCACGGTTAGTTGTCATAATGTTTCTGATAAGACATACAGAGAAAGTAAATCTAGCCTCCGACCCCTCCACCACGAAAACCTCGGGAAAACCCACGATTTTTTCCTGTAGGTAGGGGGCAGGTGTACACAGCCTAAGAAAGTAATATGTTCCTGCTCTAACAACAACCACAAAAAAAAACAAAACCAAAGTAAACAAACAAATAAACAAAACACGAGTGCCTCAGCTCGAAATTAGAGTTCAGACTGATACGTGCAACCCGCCTCTCTAAGTGAGCACCTCCCACATAAGCGTTCCTTACCTAGATCTCTCCAAAACGCCAAAATTTCCCAGTCAAATCCCTGTGGCTGGATCCTCGCGACATTAAGCACTTATAGTAAGCCACTACGGCCTTTTATGGGCCGACGGTTTGCCATTGCCATTCAGTTTTCGGCGACCGTCTAACCCATGGTCTGATTTTTTCTATATATGTTCACAGTATGGGTACCACGCTACCAAGAGTATGTGAAGAACTTTTAGTGACAACATGTAAGGTACTTGGCTTAGAAATTGATGATTATGTCTTGGGACCTCTTCTCGAAAGAGCTTCCTGAAATTTTATTCTCGTAAGCGACCACTAAATGTGTCAGCTCTCAAGAAGACGCACTTTAGGGCAGTGTACCTGTTACTGTCGTGTAGAGAGGTTTCCGTACTTAAAAGGGGGAGTTGACTTAAGGCGTTAGAAAAATATCGAAGGATGCAGGTGTATTTGCGAAAGAGAGAGTCAGCACAATGAACAATACCTAGTTATGTAACTGAACGATTATATAACAAGCCGGGAAACGGTAAAATGTGTTCTTTTGTGCATTAAATTTTGTGGACACTGACGTCATGAATAAGGACCGATTAATAAAATCAATTGTTTTTTTTAAGGCCATTCCTTGAGGCTAAAGTGAAAAAAAGTGACTTCTTTTTGTCGCAAAAGGCAATTTAAACAGGAACTCGTACAGTATGAAACATTTCATGACGTAAGAACAAATAGCCACTGAGATATAGCCGAGTTTTTCTAAGTCCGATTTTGCTGCAAAAGTACGTAAAGCATAGTGCATTCAAAACAAGTTTAACTGGCCATGAAACTCCCATATCATTATTATTATTGTTGTTATATAATGCACAAAACTGACTAACGCCTTGATATTGTAAACCAAGATAAGTTTGACACCGCACTGTTCATGAAAAATTGTTAAGACCTTGTAAAACGGATAGATTACACCAGGATAACTTACATTATCTTGGTCAGTTATGATTTTTCCTATCAGTTTTTCTTCCCTTTTTCTTTTTAAAAAGGACTTGACACAACAAAAAGACGTTCAATATCGGGAAACGATAGCCAACTATTCACATATCTCTTGGTATCAGTTTGTTAGTTTTTATATTTAACCCAGTGACAAAACACATAGCTCAGGGATAGTTTAAGAGCGTGCGGGAGTAATTTCTTTAAACATGGGCGTCTAATTTAAAATTCAAGTTCATTTTTGAACTGAACTGTTTTCGTGCCAGGCACTTTAGCAGAGCTGCGTCTGATATTGCAGTAGAATTAGGTGACAAAAAACAGGAAGTTCTGTTCATCTGAAAGTACAGTAGACGTTCCTGCATGGTATGTAATTGCATGCAAATTAGGCACCTAACTCTCACAAAATTTCGAAATGGTCTACATAAGACAATTTTTAATTGATTGTTTCATTTGAAAGGTAGGAAGAGCTGTATTCAAAGAGATAAGTTTCAATTTTTCATCGACCTTTGTATAAACTTGGGCTTCCAATCTTTCAAATTTCTATCCCTGGAAATTTTCCTAGCATTAAATGCACTCTTGTAAATAATTAACAAAATAATTTGTAACAAAGGGACCTAGGCAACTCTCGTGCCAATGCTGCGTCATTTAAATGAAATAATTCTTATCTTTTGAGGTTCTACAAATATTTTGACGTAGTCTGATTCAAGTCAGGGCCATGATAACGAATATTCGCTGATATCCACCTCGTCTTTGGCGATGATCGTCAAAGAAGGCCAATTTTTTTTTTTTTATCAGGAGCTTCTTGTGTTATGTAACATCGCCTGAAAAATATACTACTAACTAGTAATAACTATCATTATAATTAAGAGGAAAGTTGAGCAAATGTATCATTTTTTTTCAAAAAAAAGTAGTTTAGCCCGTTAAGAAAGGGCCTAAATCGCCTCGGGTGACCTCAATTGCATCTGAAGGCGGACCGGGAATCACATACCCATATGGATTGCTGTAACTGGAGAAAAACTAGTGCTTTCTGTCGAGATCAGTTGAATATCATCTCTGACTATCGTTGTATTTTTAAAATCCCTTATCGAGGAAGATATTAACCGAAAATATCTCTTTCGGTTCAACTGCTAATGTAAGTGTTTATATATATATATATTACCGATTTATTTCCTTAACAAAGAGCTTAGATATTATTTGCGAAATTATCTGAGATATTATTTTAAAGATATATCATCTGCCATCAGGCTCGGCTAGAAGATAGAATATTTAAGTTAACATACTCAGTTAACAAACCGCATTGCAAGTAGGCATTTTAATTGTACGCGTTGAAAGTGGAAAGGCCAGAGAACAAGGAAATACGTTGCATGCCATAGTATGCAGTTGTCTAACCTGAACCTTTGTCACTGCTTCGTTGAGTGCTCTCGAGTTACAAAGACTTGCAATGGGATAGCATATGCCTTTGCACGAATCGCTCTGCTATACGCAAGGATATTCTCAAAGGCAAGTCACGCGTGACAAGGTCTGTTAAAGTAAATAAATAAGCTTTTAAAACAACACTCCCTCGAGAGAAAGATCTACTGCCTACCTTCTTACTCTTTGCATAGTCCGCAAGTTGTTCGGAAGCTTTCGTACGATCAGCCATGTTTGCGATGTCTCAGAGGTTTCGTGCACTGACGGAGACGTCTCTTTTATGAAGAAAAGGACGATATGTATTCAGCAGCTGCTGAGTCACAGTGATTAAAAGCATCGCGCCCTGATCATAATATTGCTAACGTCACGTTTTGTCATAGAAGCCAGTCATTGGTCTGTCAGTTAATTTCATGGTAATGAAGAATATCTAATCATAGGTCACAAACTCCATAATTCAATTCAAAAAGAAGCTTCCTGGTGACGCAGAATGTAGAGCTTAAAATTATTAAAATGTCTTAGCGCTTCCATTTTATTCTCATCGAATCTCCTTAAAGTGCTATGATAAATAATTTTGAATGTTGTTGTTAAAATGTTGTACAACATTAATAATGCTAATTTTAAATGTTAGGAAAGTGGTCTCAAGACTTTGTTGTATTTAGTGGGGATGTAAGTCGATCTACTTGGCCATTTGTCAGCAAATAATTCGTTCAATGAAGAAATTTGGCATCGAAACAAAACATGCTCCCTAACTTAATTTGTGAGGTTTAATCTAGTTTACTGGCGATGATTGGTGTTCTATTGCATCTGTTACCGCTGTATCCAATCATGCATACGCTGAAATTACGCAAAAGCTCTATGGATATTTATACTCTACTTCTTTCTATTTTAGGCATATTTTTGGAATTGTTAGACAATCTCTAGTAAGTACTTTTTCAGGTATGGCCCCAGTCAGTTTCACTCGCCCCCGCGGCCGAACCTGGACACCTGATATCATGCAAGTGTCATTACCACTCATGCTATATTCAATAAAACTACAACCCATGATGTTCCACGATCCTCATCACTGAAAAATTGATATCTCTCGATACTTAACAAAATACACGTCATTTCCAGTGCCGGGTTTCAATTATAGCAAATATCTGGCCGTTTTAGATCTCCTTAAATAATAAGTTTAAATATTGAATAGTCTGAGGTAAACTGAAACCCGGTAGACGACAACAAGCATATTTATGCTGCTTTACTTTGTATAGCGATCACGTCAAAAAAAAAAAATTGGATGTTTAAATTTTAAAAAGCGAAGGTTAACGATAAATTTTACGTCAAAAAAAAAGTTGACGATATATAGACAAAAATATTATATTGTGATTTTCTAGTATTTTCAACACTGAAAATTATAGCTATCTGTTTTATCAAATTTCAAAAAGGATGTGAAGATTAAAAAAAAATTGCACTATTTTTAAAATGGTTAACACTGTTATAAATGGTGAGTGTAAATTGGTTCTCTCGACAACGATCGCGTAGAACCGTCACAGAACCCTACAGTTGACGATATATAGACAAAAATATTATATTGTAATTTTCTAGTATTTTCATTAACACTGCTGGGGTCTAATGATGTCGCAATCCGCTTAAAGACATCCATTAAAGAATGAATAATAATTCGTAAACGCTGTAAACAAAATGTGCCTGACTGATTCTGGACAAAAGGCTCTCTAACTCGGAACTGAGCTGCCAGGGCCTGCATTGCTAGTTTTTGATAGTTTGCACGAGACGGCATCAAATTTTCAACATAACGGCATTACTACTCCCCCCTAAAATTCAATTTTGTAACAAACAACTACAATTACAAAACACTTTTGTTTGTACTATCTTTTAGCTGAAAGGGATAGTCCTTTTCCATACAGGGCACGGATGAATCTCCAAGTCATACTGACGTTAAATGAAGCTTATTAAAGGAAGCCGTCACGTACAGCCTGTAGCCTAAACTGAGGCGACTTATATATCGACTGATTTTTTTCTGCCTAAACAGACCTTGTATCAAGAATAATGCAGTATTAATTTTGAGGCCTATAAGTTCCGAGTGAAGACAAATGATTTCCAATTAAATGTTCTGTTTGTTTTTGGCCGCCATTTTGGATGTCCATACTTGGTCATACTTCGCGGCCGCACAGACCTGAATCTTAAGCCGAGATTGTTTGCATTTCTGCTGAAGGCACATTATAACCTCAAAAGGTTACTATGCGTGCAGCACGATTTTGCAATTTCTGGAGTTTAGTAGGAAGACCGTGGTCTTGTGCCGACGCAAGAAAAACTATAGAGTGTTTTCACTCACGTGGCCAGCGTCTGTATGCAAATTTATTGGAACAAAAGAAAGCGTTTACATAAGAAAAGAGTTGAACTTCCACAGGACTGGTTTGGGACACCAACATGGCCGCCGTTTCATTGTTTTGGGACACCAATATGGCCGCCGTGACGTCATGTGAAAACACTCCATACCAGTATAGTGTGGACACATCCTGACTCAAACGCCACATTATGCAACGAGTTTCTAGGTACAACTCTGAGCATGATTTGTTCTGGAGGACATGTGAGAACCGCACCAACAACAACATCGACTGAAACCTGAAAGAAAGACATTGGACAGTGTGATCTTTATTCCTATCATTTAAAATATCATCATTTAAATCTAAATCGCCAGGAAGTGAGCCCGAAAGTGCGCGTTCAGCTTTTAACTGAGATATGAACTGGGTCATCCCCGGTGTAATATAATGTATTCGTTTTCTTTGTTTTATGGACTACTGTCAGGGGTAGGTTCATTGTTAAGGATGTTTTGTTTTCTTTGTTTTACGTCAGCTGCCAGTGTAAAACAGAGTGAGATCTGGGTACGAGATTCGGTTGGGTTCATTGCTAAGGATGTGTTGTTTTCTTTGTTTTACGTCAGCTGTGAGTAATAAATTATTACATTACACCGGAGTCGAGCCATATAACATTGACAGGCCAGCTAAGTAAGATCTGAAAATGCAACATCCATTGATAATAAATTTATTTTAAATGGATGTTGCATACTTACGTTAACTGGCTGGCATTACACACTGGCAATATGATAATCACTATCGTAAACCTGATTATTGCCAACGAGTAGCCTCGCAAAGACGTGAGGCTACAAGGTAGCTGCAATCCGTGCGCGAAAGTTCCAAGGCAGAATGAATCTCGAAGCGATGTAACATAAAGTAGTGTAAGGTAACTTTTATGACGTAATAGAGAACAGAGAATACGCCTAATTCCAAAATGGCGGTCGCTCGGAGTGATCTGGGGAGAGCGGGGTGCAAATGAGGCATCGAGGGACGACGAAGCAAACGATTGTTGCATTCTGTACCAGGATCCAAAATGTAAAATAAAAATCAAAACCATTCGACAGATAAAGTCCAGAAAAATGAAAGGATGTAAATATACAAAGTGTTTGGGTCAAAATTTCTTTTCATAAGTTTCCAGACGACGAAGGTGTGTTCAGACAATACGAAGGATATCGGGGTAAATTTTCAAGTGACACAAAACTCGCGTGTTTGCTCTTGCCATTTTAAGCCATCGGATTATATCCTTTCGCTTACAGGTCGCAAGAAAACATTAAAAACTTCTGCTGTCCCATCCGTATTTCCTTGACGAGAGGTTCGACAGCAAAAAGAAGAGAGCTAAAGTATAGAAGTCCGATCAAGAAAAAAAACCCGAAGAAAACCTCCGACTGAGACAACGATGAGCGACAGCAGCAATTCCACGTGTGTCTCATGTAGATTCCCGGGGAAAATGCTTTTGTTTTCGAGCAAACACGTGGTACAGAACAGAGAATCCACGTGCCGATTTTCACTTCTGTTGTAAAACTTAATGGTGAAGATTATGGCGCGCCGTTTGTTTCAAAATTATTTGTTGACGTGATTTTTAACGTGATGCAACATGTCCTGTGAAATGAGCTGTGATAGAATCTACTTACCATCGTTATTTTTCACCTTGAAATCATTTTGCTACCGTGATGCAACATTTTCTACCTTGATATCATTTTAATACCGTAATGTGACTTTTTCTGCCTTGATGTTATTATTTTACAACCATGATGTAACATTTTCTACCTTGATATCATTTTAATACCGTGATGTGACATTTCTTACCTTGACGTCGTTTTACTATCGTGATGGGACATTTTCTGCCTTGACATAATTTTACTGCCGTAATAGAACATTTTCTACCTTGACCTCATTTCACAACCGAGATGGAACATTTCTACCTTGATGACATCATTTTAATACTGTAATGTGACATTTTCTCACTTGATATCTTTTTACTACTCTGATGGAACATTTTCTTCTTTAAAATGATTTTCTGCCGTAATGAAACATTTTCTACCTTATCTTTTTTCTACTGCAATTGAACATTTTCTGCCTTGATTTCCTTTTACCATCATGATGTAACATTTTCTACCTTAATATCGTTTTACTACCGTAAATGTGACTTTTTCGACCTTGATATCAATCATTTACTACCATGATGTAACATTTTCTACCTTGATATCATCTTACTGCTGTGATGTAACATTTTCCACCTTGATATCATTTTACTTCATGCTGTGATGTAACATTTTCAAAGTACCTTGATATCATTTTACTGCCGTGATGTAACGTTTTCTACCTTGATATCATTTTACTACCGTGATGTAACATTTTCTACCTTGATATCATTTTACTGCCGTGATGTAACATTTTCTACCTTGATATCATTTTACTTCATGCTGTGATGTAACATTTTCTATCTTGATATCATTTTACTGCTGTGATGTAACATTTACTACCTTGATATCATTTTACTACCGTGATGTAACATTTTCTACCTTGATATCATTTTACTACCGTAATATCATAGGTGACGAATTACTCCTTAATTTTGGCGCGAAATTTCAGCGGTAATTTGTAATTTCACATGTGAAATTACTACATTGCCATGGCAACCTGCCGTACGTCTCAGTGTCAAGTTTTAAAATGTCATGAATGAAGATGTCAGGGCATAAAAACCTAAACACACGAAAGAGCACATCAAGAAGGATTCTAAGAGGTATGTTGTCGAAAAATTCTGAAAACTTAAGCCAAATTTCAGCTCTAAACGTTTGAGAGAGTGGAGTCACGATCGATCGATACGATCCAGCATAAATAAGTCAAAAATCCACGATTGCTAACGTAATTCGTCACCCATGATATTAATAGGTAATCAAATGGTATACTCGTGAAATTAGGGAATAATTTCACTTGCGTTTTGTCCAAAGCCTAATAATTTCATGCTCGGGAAATTATTAGGACAAAAACGCGCGTGAAATTATTCCCTAATTTCACTCGTCACCATTTGATTACAAATACTAATGTGACTTTTTCTACCTTGATATCATTTCGGTACCGTGATGGAACATTTTCTACCTTGATATCATTTTACTGCCGTGATCGACCATCGTGTTGTGACATTTCATTTTAGCCTGTTAACGTGATGTAACATTTTCTAAATGAAGTAAACTCATTTATATGGAAGCAACATATGAGTATCTATGATTTTATCCGGAAATGTGCAACGTTTTATTTTTGGGCTCACGCATTAACGCCTTTCCTGTTTATTTTTCCCTTCTTTTTTTAACAGGGGCACCCAACGAGGATATAGTTCAAAACCACTTAACATAGCATTGTTAAACGTATTTTAGTATTTAAACGGTAGATATAGGCATATTTTTATTCCCTAAAAACTTTTCATCTGTTCGGATTTCCTAGCTGAAAGTCTAGTGATCCGAAAATTATAGGGATCAAAACTTACCTGCTCGAAAATTTCAGCCAGGAAAAGGTTCCCGAAAATTCTAGGTGGCCTTTTTTAGGCTCAAAATCCGTTAAAAATTGGTAACTATACCATTTTGTAGATGTTCGAAAATCCTAGGAGAGGCGGGCAAGCAAGAAATTGTTCAACAAATGTTCCGAAAATTCTAGACCTCAAATCGTCTTCCGAACAGATATTTTCCGAAAATTGCCGTTGGGTGCCCCTGTTTTAATCTCGTGTAGCGAAAAGTCTTGTTGTATACAGACAGAATATTGAGCAAATACATACATACCTGCTTTATCTTAAAGGCACTAAAGGTTGGTGACAAAGTTGTCCGAAGATCTTTCCATTTTTGGCCAGGTACAATGGTCAACATTCTGTTGTAAGGTCTGCCAAATTCTACCGTGCCCTGCCAAAGTGAAACAGTCCATTGTTTTACTATGGTCTTTATAGATAGGGTTAAAAGCATAGGTACAGGGTACTACCTTTGTGACGTCATGCTTCTATGGAACTACTTGTCAGTTCTGTACGAAATGTTGGACGGCGACGTTCCTTCTGTTTATCCTAAAGAAATTGCTTGAGCACCTCCACCATTAAAGATTTTTCTTTCAAAAATTCAAAGTGTAAATCAGTTGATCATTGTTATTATATCTGAGCCACAGAGTGTTACATAATGATTAAGCATGGTATACGTATAGTTTTGCTAAGTCACACATACAAACAAACAGAAAAGGCTGCTGTACCTTTTTTATATACGTTTTAAAATAATGATCAATAACAGAAACCTACCCTCCGATCGTGGAACTTCGGAAATTTTTTAATAAGAATTTCTTTGATAATATCTGGATCACCCACCATCAAAAAGGGAACGCGAAGAAAGTACATCATGAAGACCGAATAAAGGGGACTGAATCAATGTTAAATAAATCCATGGTGCATTGTGAAAATTGCACAGTCAGCTGTACAGTGGAACCTCAAGGACACCCGCTTCTAGTCACGCGTTTATGACGGACAGTTTCGTTTGTCACAAAAAAAAGCGCATATATTTTCTCTTAAATTCCGCTTAAAAAATCCGCTTAAAAAATCCGCTTAATAACGACAACGGACACTTGCCGTATCTCGAATTATACTCGAGCTCTCATTTCGTCAACCTCGCTTTACGGACACTGTTTATCTGCACACTGTCTATGACTGAATATCCGACCAGTGAAAACCTGACAGAAACAGTGACTCGCTGTTCATGATGAACCTTCAAAGGTTCTGTCTAATAATGTTCAGTCCACCAGGCTGAGTCAGGAAATAACCAAGATTGTAGCTTTCCGTATTGAATTGAGGGATTGCACGTCTTAGGTGTTAAAAGTTGCAGACAATAGAAAGATTTAGAGTGACGTTCACGGCAAACGGTAAACGTCAAATTTAAGTTGAAAATTTCTCAAAATAGAAAACGTGCACTGGAAAATCAATTGGTATAGACAAAACTAACATGAAGCTACTAATTTTAAAGTAGAACTAAAGAACAGTAAAGCACAAGTTTAAGGGAAACCTTGGTCCCGTGGTAAAAATTCATGTTTACCGTTTGCCGTAAATCTCTCTAACGATTCGTTGAGATGAACATTAACGTCAGTTGAAATCCGTCACGATACGTCACATACCCATAGACCTTGCCGTATTTCTTATACCATTCCAGGTGTAGCTTAGGAACAATGTTTGGCTGTAGAAATCAATGTAAAGCATGTCAATATTAAGACAATAAGATTTAACTAATTTTGCGAAAAAGAGATAAAGTCTTGACTGTCTCACTCTCTGCGCATGCTCCAATGTTTAAAACAAGAAGTGTTGGATCATTGGCCTTTTCACTGTTGAGAAAAATCCGTTTCCAATGATTATTCTGTTAGCACTCGTTTGCCCTCAAATGCACTACAGTCGGTGCTAATCTAGTCTCCCTCGCAGCCGTTTTTAGTATCGTCACGCAACGCGCGGAGGAGCGTTGCGTGACGATACTAAAAACGGCTGCGAGGGAGACTAGTGCTAACCAACTTGTCATCTATTTTATTTGTATATTTACCGAGTTCGGTAAATTTTTCCGCAATTTTCAAGAAAAGGTGGAAAATTTGCCCAGGGTAGGAGTCCTTGTCGCCAATGAGCTTTTTTCTCAGAACTCAGTGCGCAGTTTTATTCATTAAACGGGTGACTAAGCTTCAGAGACCTTTTCATGACGTAGCGTTCACACGAGTGTCCACACGAGCAAACATAACCGATGTGAGCCTTTCGTTTGGAAAGCCAACGTGAAGCTCTCTCGCGCCGAAGAGGCTCTGTGTTTGCCAAAATAAAATTAATTAATTAAGTGAGCGCGAGCGGTCCTTTCCCCTCTCCAGCCTAACTAATTAAAACCAATTACAAAATCAGTGGAACGAACATCGTCATTGATTCATTGTGCATCCGCTTCTGCTTCCGAAACCAACTAGATCGATCGTAAGCGACGGAGTTATAACTGAGCGGACTCGGAAGAAAATAGAAATGATCTGATTCTTCCAAAGCTGATTAATCCGAGCCCCATTCTGGCTCTGGTCGCTTGTGAAAAAGAAAAAAAAAAGAGTAAAAACAAATAAACAAGAAACAGCCAAAACTATCTCAGACTATTGCGTATAAAAATAACATTACAAAGACTAAGAAAAGAATGAAAAAGTACGTAAAAAACCATTTCTCAAGGGAGTAATGAGAAGAGAGTGTCAATCAACGTTTCAGTGTATAATACGAATACAGTATATCACAAAAAGTGTATTTAAAGAAATAACTTCCTGTGCAGTGAACCTTTCGTGACGAGGAAGTGATTTGTGACCAATATCTATTGATATTCGTCATGAATCCAACATTCATGAAATCAGAAATAGAGACAACTAATAGAACTAATATAAACTGTTTTCTGATATAATAGTGACAGAACAAAGAACAACGATAGTACTATAGAATCTCTAATTATATATAGTGAAGCACAAACCTGTAAATAAGTAGAGTCAGCAAAACAATAAGGATTGTAACCCAGTGATCGCTAGCACATTTTGCCAGTGCTTGTTGAAAATCACCACATATATGATTATTTTATTTGTGAATAGATCAGACTCAATTGGTTTTGAAGATCAATTATCTTGTTAAGCTTGAGCTATCAGCGAAGGAGTTTCGTTCTGTGATTCTGCCCTGTTCGCATCTATCGGTTTTTATCGGGTTCTTTTTGTAATTGCAAGTGAACATCGGTTCTTAGCAAGTTTAGCAGTCAGATTTCCACATGGGAAAAAAACGAAATTCATTTCATTGGTGACATTGTTATCAGAGGCCGTCGTTAAACGTTCCACATATGATATCCTAACAAGCCAGACATGTTAAACGCACGAGTGGATTCCACATTTTGCATTTAATCGATAACTGTCACGATTTTTAGACACACACCATCAGCAGGCAGTGTCACGAACAATAGTGGTACATTACACATGAGATCATTCCGCTCTCCATGCCCTCTCTCGCCGGTCAGCGAGCTTAAGTTTGTCAAGTTTCACCATTCGATGACGATGGATAAATTCTGCAGGGCAAACTCAGACTTCTGGCGAGGACAATGCATGCGTTTGCAGAGATGCCCACCTCGGCCCGGGAAATCTAAAAATCTGGAGACTCCCTATTTTGCACTTCACCCTCCCCCCCCCCGAATGTCAACAGCCCCACCCGACCCCCGATTCGCCCTGCCCACAAATTGACCCAGCCGCTATGGCTTAGGACATCATATGAAGGTCTTACACATTACATGAGAAGTCTTGTAATGACGAAATGATCTTTGCCAGTGACTAAATGCGTGCAAAAATGTCCCAAAAACCGAACAATGAATAAAAAAGGTTCGAATTTGGAGGAAAAAAATGGGCTTTAAATTTCAAACTAAAGCTCAAAAGTGACAAAAGTCCATTTTATCCTGTAGATTTGGTGACCCATACGGGAAAGCGGGCGATCAGTGCCGTATCCGGGAGAGCTGGAAAGGAAGTTTCCGAGCCCTCGCGCGCGCCCAAATCCCCCTTTCCCCTTCCTCTTTTAAGGCCCTGTTTACAATGAGGGACGGTAAGTTACCCTAGCAAGAGGGTTACCCTTGCACTCGCATATTTCTTCTTTTTTCACACAACGTGTTTACGAGGCAGGTAGGGTTACCCTAGTGCTAGCGCTAGCAAGAGGGTTACCCTACCTGCCTTGTAAACGCTCAGCTAGGAACCGGCGCGGGTCAACTTTCCGCCGTCATGCGTGAGCAGTATTGAACGGTATTATCCAATTTCTGAACTTAATTATAAACATCTGGCCCCGGTTGTTCAAACGTCGGATAGCGCTATCCACCAGATAAATCACTATCCAGCGGATAGCGTAATTGATTTCCGTAATACTTATTCGTTGGATAGTGATTTATCCGGTGGATAGCGCTATCCAACGTTTGAACAACCGGGGCCTGAAAAATAAAAAGTTATTTTCTGTCTACGATGATAATATTTTCCCTTTTATTCGTGAATTTAACGTGTTTTCCAGAGAAGAACTTCAAGATTATTTAAAATTTTGGACCGTTACAAAGAATGTTACGTACGACGAAACACGTCAGCAAAGCTGAAGTTGATCCGGTTGATAGGGTAACCCTACCTGTGAACTGAATTTGCTTGTAAACCAAAGCTAACTTTAACCCGCTAGCTAGGGTAACCCTAGCACATCGGTAACCCCCTCTCCTTGTAAACAGGTCCTAACCTGCTAACGCCTGCCACGCAGGCTAAGGTAATATACTTTTGTTACTGATTTGACTTCTCTAAATCCCGGGCTTAAATCGATCTGGAGCCTATAAGATCCTGCTGTTAAAAATACACTATATACTATTGCATAATCCAAACAAAGAAATTGATCAAGAATTTGAGAACCACGTAGAGAAAAATCTTTCAAGTGCTATTACTTTTATTCCAATTATGGTAAAGGTTTTGCGTGATCGTTTTAAGTGCGACGTGTTTCCTTTTCTGCAGATTACATCAACTACCGAAAAACTGGAGCCAAGGAAAAGGTTATGTGGTGAACGTTTTAAAAACTGAAACTAAAACTTTAATCACTCAACTTGAAAAAGGTGCTAGTCTGACTAGCACCTTTTTCAAGTTGAGTGACTGCTAAAATGAAATGATTTTTTCGTTATCCTTTCAGACTCAAATACCATAACACAAGTGTATGTAAATATTGGATGACAATGCGTCAGACAGATTACATGCGCTGCCAAAAATAGATATTACAATGCAAAGCGAACACGTCACGCATTCACTCACTCCTCAGCTATAAAAAGGGGCCTCCAACTCAGTTGACCTCAGCAGAAAAAGGTACATTTATTTCTATTGATTTCTGAAGACAAAATCTTACTTTCAGCAGCCTTCAGAGACGAATCTCAGGTTTACGCTTTCAAGATGGGTGACCTTCTGCACTCAGCGATAGAATTCATGGTCGACCACTGGATGGCACTCGCAATCGGTCTGTTGGTCCTACTCATTCACAGGTACGTGTGTACGATGGAACAGAACGTTTCTTCAAAAATTATACATGAAACGCCACGATGAGTGAAGAAAACACAAATTGTGTCGTCTGTCGTTTGGGCTCACAATCCGATCCCCTGCGGCTATTTAGCGAGTTACAGTTGGGTTTGAGTTGGAGTTGAGTTGAGGTAGGATGGAGTTAAGTTTTAAGGTACCAAAAAATTACGCATCTTGTTTTCTGTACTTATTTTTGACGAAGCAGATTTTGTTATCATCTCTGGCATGTGTAAATAGAATGGTTTAGAATAATGCAAATGCAGTTCGTTTTGCGTGACTATTGCGTGACAGAATTGCAGGGCAGCCCAATTAAAATTGCAAACGAATCACATTTTTTTTTCTCATTTAGTTTTAGTTGTCGAATTTAACTTTGTATTAAACTGAAAGTCTCATTTCTATTCGTAAAAAAGGTAGATCAAATTAAGTTGTTCCTCATTGAAGAATCTCTTAGTTCAGCAATGTCAGCAATATATCCAGGCGTAGTTAAAATGTTTGTTTGTTCTCAATGCACAATTGAAAATGAGTGAATTTAAGTAAAATGGCCGGTTTCAATATAAGCTTAAGCTTAAATGAAAGGCAAAGTAGCTCCGACAAAAAGCACAACAAAAGCTTAGGTTTCGTTCTGTTTATCCTTTTCCACTGTTGTTTCGCCGGCTCTCTGCCGTTTTCTTTGTCGACAGTGAAACCAACGAAACTATTCCACTCCATTTCCGAAATGTTTTTCACTTTTTTAGCGAGAAAAACTATTTGAGTAAACCTTTTCTCGTTGAATGTGTGCGAAGCGGCGCTGCAAGCTGCAATAAAAGGCGGGAATTTTGGCGCGAAACTCACACACCTCTGTAGCTTCTGATTGGACGTATCATTTTTCTCACACGTGAAAAAACATCGTTCGCGATTCTGATTGGACGTATCATTTTTTTTCACGTGTGAAAACCATCGTTCGCTCCTCTGATTGGCTAGAACTAATTTGCGTACCACAATTTACGACATAGCTTTTTGGTGAGTATTTCTCAGTATGTATATAATAAAGTAACGTATTTTCTCAATCAAAAGAACGGCATAATATTACGACTGAATGACTCGATAATACCGGACAGACAACATCTTGTTAAAGTTGAAGTTCTAAAAATCTTTTCCGATAATAATCGATAGTAATCGATAACAATCGATTTAATCAATCGTTATCGATCTCTATCGGAAATCGATAGTTAACGATGATTGATATCGATTATCGGTTTAACGATTGACCTGGATCTGTAGTCCCGAGAAAAGTTACGACTGTTAATATTTTATAGACATTTGCAGTTCGCCGAAAATGACGAAAAAGCTCAATCGTAAGATCTCTATTATCATACATTGCCGTACGGTTGGTTCTCAGCTTGGTGTTTTCAGTTTAATCGATCAATTGAGGCAACCCAAGGGAGCTGATCTAAAAATTTTCACTTCTCAAAATAAAACTCCGAAAGAAAGGTTACATAAAAATTTGCTGAGATACAATTCTCAGTAGGCAAGATCAGAAAACTTTAAAGGAAAGCATTTTCCAAAAGCTCAAAAAATGGGCTCAAGACAATCAACTGCGTCAGTCATACTGTGGAGTTTGTCACTGCGTGGAGCTTCAGTCTGAACGTTTTAACGGTGTCATATAAGAGGAGTCTTGACGGTCGTGGAAATCCCCCTTGTTTTCTTCCAAACGTTTTACTTTCAGTCATCATCACTTTTATTCCCTTGAATTTTTAGGTACTGCATCGCACCGTACACTGTATTCAAGAAACTTGGAATCCCTGGACCAACACCCATTCCATTTTTGGGAACTTCAGCAGTCATGCTCTTTAATGTAAGTTGAACTTGCTTAATTACGAGCCGGCTTGTTGCTACCATACAGCTGACCATAACAAGGAGATAATCTTTTAAATCAGTGGTTAAAATGGAATCCTACTGAATTTCTCTTTATAGCCTCACAAGGGACCACTACAAACTTTGGAACGATATAAAAAATATGGCAAGGTCTTTGGGTATGTATATCAGTTGTTTTTTCATTTCCTTCGATCACCGACAAGGATATTAAGTAGATCTAGGACATTTTTGGTATTGGGTCTTACCAATAATAATAATAATAATAATAATAATAATAATAATAATAATAATAATAATAATAATAATAATAATTTTTTTTATAAATAATAATAATACTTTATTAAACTCTTCTCAAATTGAAAATTAAGTACAAATTTAGTATAACTATAGTTAAAAAAAGACTTCTTGGTGGTCTGGTGGTTTTCAACAGAGCAAATGTAAACAACTGTCTATAAACTAAAAAAAAAGAAAATTTCTACGTTCATCCCAATGATAAATATAATAATTATTAAATTTTACTATTTACAGATTCAAGAATATGAAATATTAAGATATATACCCTATGTACATTCTTCTTGTGTACGAAAGAGACTTATCGTAAAATGACTATCTAAAGACTACTAATAACAATTATAAAAAGCATAAAAAAGTTAATAAAAAAAATATTTAAAAATAATGATTCAAACTGATAAAAAGTTACTACTTAAATTCTGGCTTGCATACTTTCCGATGTAATGTCAATGTCAGATATATTGGCTGCTTTTCTCTTGCTCCTGGTTCCTCTGAGACACAGCAAGGCTGATCGTAGGATGGCAAAGGATACTTTCGCCCTTATCCAAGATATGGTTGTAGCGTAATAATAATAATAATAATAATAATAATAATAATAATAATAATAAGTGTTCTTTAGCCAGGTTAACCTCCTCAGCATAAAATTCTTATATCAATGAGAGCTCTGGAAAAATTAAAACAACCAACTTATCACACAGCATTTAAAATACATTAAAAAGCTAAAATACAACAATTAAAAATACTTTAAAAACTTAAGTGATAAAACTTGACTAGTAACTAAAAAGCTCGCGATCTATAAAATTCAAAAATACGGGTTTTAAAAGTTACAACTGATGAGAAAAAAGTTTTGATCCATTAAAATAAAGACTTCCGTGCAATCTTAGTTCTCGCTTCGGGGAACATTAAGTACTGTCCACTTCTTCTAGTGACGTGGATTGTTTTAAAAACCTTCAACCCATCTTCGCCGTTCGCATTTTCGCATGTTTATGGTAATTAATGGTGAGACGTGTGGTGCTTTTTAGTAAGCTACCAGATTGGAAGCAATTTCAGCACTTTTTCATTTAGTGAAAAATATGAATCTATGTTCTGATGGCCTCATTTACCCTTTAAGCCCCAATATCCACACACAAATTTCCCAAACTGATTCTATACATTTCCATAAAGAATGTTTTGAGAGAATTAACTTTTGATGAAAGATCAAGGCATTTTCTTTTTGATGATCATTTTCAATTTATTGATTCTAATAACCTGATCTCTTAACAATGTATGGATATCGTTAGGAGAAAATTGATGTTGATCACCATTGGGACTTAACGGGTTAAGGAGAGGTGGGTTCCGTCCTTCACTCACGAATAAGTAATTCTTAGTATTCTTAAAGCCCCTGTAGAAAAGAGCGTTTGCGTTTTTGTAGTTTGCAGTTGATAATCAAGAGAAACAAGTAACTGTTTTAGTATTGTAGAGTTTTGTACTACTGTCTTTCTTTGGCTGCCGTCACGAATATAGATTTAGTGGGTGCTGTAGCCATTGTCCACATCTTTTTGTGAATGAATCGTGCTATTTATTACTGCAATTTTTCTTCTTAATAGCTCTTATTTATTCCGTGAGCCTTTTCTGGTCGTGGGTGACCTAGATATGGTAAAGGAAATCCTCGTCAAGGAATTCCCAAAGTTCCATGACAGAAAGGTACTTAACCTGTGTTTATGTGTGTGCGTAGTTTTCTAATCACCTTAAGTTGTACCTTTGAGCAAAGTGATAACACCAACGTGCAGCGTGTTGCAAGGCGGAGGGCCTTTAGCCTCCCCGGGAGATACAGCAGATCCAGAGGAACGGGACTCACAAGGCCCTCTGGCCTCCCACGCAGACGTTCTTAGGGGTTCGTCACCCGCTCCTGCCCCACGTACGTTCCTGCCCCCCACCCTCTCCTCGTTGGAGGGATTGCTTGAAGAGCCAAAAGAACGTCTGCATGGGAGGCCAGAGGGCCTTGTGAGTTCTGCTGTATAGTGTTTTTAAATATCGGCCTAGACTAAAAGCTCAGTAGATATAGACAACTCCCAGTATTGCAAAGACCCTCGGGACGGCAAGTTAGTGCCCTTGACAGGGAGAATCCTCAGATACATCACAGGAAAATCTGACTGTTGAAAGATGGAGCTCGGTGTCCGTCATGACGAGTGTTCAGAAAGATCTGAATAATGGCGGGAACGATGCTTTCGGTACCCAGGAAAGTGTCCGTACAAGCTGTAAGCTGTAATGGAGAGATATTCTGTGGTAGCGGAAGTTATTCCCTGTAAAACGTCCGAAACTTTAGATCTTCGCTGCTGTCCCTATTATCGTTGATCGTAATAGATAGGTGTAGCCCATTACGAGCTCTAGGCGATGATAGATAGCAACGCTGGGACCTGTGTGTTCGCTTTGTAAGATATTGCTCAGGGGCGTAGCCAGGATTTTTCAAAGGGGGGGTCACAGAGGCTACTTACCCGCTGCTCTCCCTCTTGTATCAGCAGGCTCAGTCGTATTATCGCGGCATGAAGGCCCATATTAACTAAAGACAAGAGCCGTTGATGAAAATACTTTACAAAAAAACAAATTTTAAAAAAGTGGGCTTTTCAACAATGGCTTTTACGGCCAAGATATTGTCATGGCGTTTTCGCCACCTAAATATTGTAGGTTGTTTGCTCAAAAGAAGGCCTACCAAGGGGGGGTCACGGGCACCCCAGGACCCCCCCTAGCTACGCCCCTGTTGCTGGAAATTCAGATTCATGTAGATAGCTTAAAAAGTGGAAGCATTTTTCGTGCTTCTAGAAAAGTGTCTGTGGAATATATGAATGCAGAGAAGAGGTTCAGGCCAAAAATGTTTTGGAAAAAAAAAAATGAGTTTGGGACTCAGTAGTGTCCCCGTTCTAATTTCGAGGGCTGAGTGTTCGTACCAGGGGCCGCTGAAGTGATGCGAGTTGTCTTGGTGGATTAGACAACGTATCTGTCCAAACCTTAATGAATTTATAAGCAATAATGGGATCCAGTCCCTTTGCGGACTTGTGAGCATCATAAGGGCTGATGGTTCTTGTAATTATATATTGTGAATATTTTATATGTTCGACATCCAGTAATAATCTGTAATAATCTGTCGCATATTCAGGCTGTATTAGAAGTTCCAAAGCCTTACGATCGAATGCTTACTATTGTTGCTGGTCAGAAATGGAAAGATATACGGAACACTTTGACACCAACCTTCAGTGCACATAAAATGAAGCAGGTAGGTGGCCCTCCTAGACAGAAATTAACTTACTTTTTTTCAGGAATTATAAGTTAGGGAAAAATAATTATGATAATCTCGTTTAGGAATATTTAGAAGCCAGTATAGCCTTGTTCGGCCAATTCTCCTTGGGGAGCAAGGGATGGCGCCGTGGTGAGAGGGCTCGCCTCCCACCAATGTGGCTCGAGTTCAAATCCCGGTGTCGACGCCATATGAGGGTTGAGTCAAGAGAGAATGATCCATTCGAAGGTGAATTTGCATATCATTGCCCTTAATTTTGTTTCTGTTTGATCAATTTTATTAGATGATGTCGTTTATGAATGACGCACTTGATACGTTATTGCTTAAAGTGGACGGGATTTCCAAGACAGGCGAGATTGTTGATTTTCACAGGTAACTAGCTTTTCTTTGTTGTAAATGCTTCGCGCCCGTCGAAATTATTTCGCAAAAATGAGGTACCCACAATTCTGTCGTCCGAGTTTTGAAACACTGATAAGTTTCTTAGGTAAACTTTTCAGTGAAGTATAAGCGTATTGACATTTTATTAAACTTTGAACAGTTTACTGATGATAACCTTTAAGCTTTGAAGAACTCTGATGGCTAGAGCTTTTGCAAGCGTCTTTCATTGTTTAATCAGTTCATGTTACTTGCTGAGTAGCCGCTATATCTTGCATTAATTTTTATAGATTCTATAGATCATGTCTGAAAACTAAAAAAAGAGGCAAAAAAAACGCCCAAATGATCACAATTGGCAATTATAATATCACGTGTTAATTCATCAAAATGAATGTCATCACTCACACCAAAATCTTGCGGGGGATTTTAGGAATAGCTCACCACATTAGATAAAGGATTGGTAATGACTTTATAATTATGGTCTTCAAAAATAAAGGGAGCATTTTGCATTCCCTAGAACGAGTTAATTGGTATATATTACACGGCGTTTTTTTCTGTTTTTCAGAAAAACACAGAATACTTTAAAACCAAGAGACCATAAAGGGGACGGAGAGGGCATCCCCCATATACACCCTATTCCATAGGTAATTCGTCTCGAGTAATTTTTAGAATCGGGATAAAGTTACCTCGCGCGAGGCGTGGATGTTTCGTTGAGGTTTCGCATGACCAAACGCCGTGCAAAACATGTCGGGCGAGAGCCGATGAAAGCGTAAAAGATCGAGAGCATTACTGAATATTGAAGCGAAATGAGTCGACGCTCACCTGGGAAAAAGGAATCGCTGGACTCTTTGACAACCCATGAAATCAGTTTAACTCGAAGTTGTCGCAACCTCAGTGCTTTAATAAAATGAGAAATTTCGCCGGTCTATTGAAACTGGTTGTTTGTACAATTTAGGGAGTTTAAGATCCAACGACGCGGACCACAACTAGAACGTCAAAAAAACAATAGGTTTAATTAGCAAAACAACAACTTTGCACGTGCAACACACTTTTTTGTTCATTTCTTTCCCGTTTTTGCACGACTACGACGTGAAAATGCCTAATTTTGCGTTTTATGGAGGACGTAATTAAGCAACGACGTAATTTTATTTCTCTTTCTTAGCTTGAATATGGTCCCTTGAAATTCAGCTTTAGGAGGGTTCGCCTACAATTGACAAAGTAAGTGGGTAGGAATAATCGCTATAAAGACTGAAAAAAATAAACATCAAACCAGAAATTGCTCTCTTCAAACTGTAAATTATAAATGATCCTGAGAGAATATTCAGTGTGTTAAGGATTTCCCTGCTCTACTGTTAGCTCTATACAAGAGAGGAAGGGCGATTCTTTTTTAATTTCGGTTTCGCTGACACAGCTTTCGTAGAAATCTCGCTGTAGTCGTTTTCGTCGACAAAAGGAATAGCAAAATCGCTCTCCGCGTCTTCCCCCATTTTGTTCTGCGTCATTTCGTGAAGGACGCGTGGCTCTCAGCGTGGGGGAACACATTCGCGCTATGTGATTGGCTGTTGTCTAATCCCCCTTGAGATCTGTGGTGTTAAAAATAACTCGAGACGAATTACCTATGGAATAGGGTGTATATGGGAGATGCCCTCTCTGTCCCCTTTATAGTCTCTTGTTTAAAACACTAAAAAGAAACCTTCATTTCATATTTTACAGATGGCTTCAAAGTCTTACGATGGAAGTAATTTTATCAACAGCATTTGGAGTCAAGTCAGAAACTCAAACTGTCGAGAATGATCCCGTCACAGAAATGGCAAAAAAGGCTATGGCTCCGAACCCGATTTTTCCACTATTGAGTAAGGATATCTTTTTTTTTTCTTTTATTGTGAAACAGGTCAACGGAAAATAATTGTGCTTCTTTATTATTTGAAATACGTTGAAAAATATTTATTTACTTCATCTGCTTCCACATTGACAAATGTGTCCCGTAAACAAATTAATTTCTCCCATATATACATGAAAAATGTCTCTGGAATCTGATTGGCCGAGAGCCATGCAGTTTTTAGTAAACACAGTGCAAAAATGAAGAAATATTATGCAAAAACAAGGAAATAAAATGCAAATATCTCGAAGATGGGAGCACTGTGATTGGCTAATAAACAATAGAAATATATTAGAACCAATCAGGTGCCGCTAATCACGGAGTATCAACATAGCCAAATAAGATGGGTTCCTGGGTATTAACGGGCAATTTCTAAAGTGTTGAGGGTGACCGTTAAAAACAGATTCCACTAATTTTGACCGGTAAATTTGTTCATGTATATTATTGAAGGGTTATCAAACGACTTTCCTCATTCAATTTGGAAAATACTTTTCCTTGACGTCTGTTTTTCAAAGGCTAAAATTGTTATACTGTTTGAAATACACACTCTTGCAAATAACTAAATTGCAAATTGAGCTCGAAGTCGTATGATTACCTATACCAAAGACATTGCAAAAATAAAATATCACAACTGAATCACTGTGCTGATTTTTTTTGTAGTGCTATTACCATTTGGAAACTTGATAGGCAAGTGCCTACCTGATCCTTTAAACTTCAACAGGATTGGAAAGATAGCCGAAGATATTATCGCTGAAAGAACTAAAGCTAATGGCCCCAGCAAACTACACGTAAGAGTCAGCTTATCATTTTTGCTGCTTTGTCAAAAATATTAGATACCTAACAGACAGGCTGTAAAGATTAGATCAGTGCTCTTTTTTAGCTACGACTCGATAAGAAACCTCGCTTATACTTTGTTTTTTTTTTATGAATTATAGCTACTTATTTCTCTCCTACATTTGCACCCTTCTTGTTTTATCACGTGTTTGCTAATGAAAGCGTTATTTCATTATTCACGGACAAGTCGCGTGAAAATCACAAAAAAAAATTAACCTAACGGTTCAAAAGCGAAACGTGACGTTAATGCCAACCCCCAGTAATTAACAAAATTATCGTTGCTATGCAATGTCAGTGTAAACAATAGAAATTTAAACTATAAATTTAAAAAATATATTGTTTTACCAGCATATCCTAGCAGTGATCGATGCATAAAATATGCAGAGCTAAATGCAAATGCAAAGGATGAATTGCATTTGAAATTTAAACTATATGTATTTATTGTCCGTTTGAAATGTTTGTTTTTCTCTTTTCAACGACGTCAGGGAACATTTCTTACGGGAGCGTTGTTTTAATTTACCCTCAAACTTTTGCTGTATAAAAAGGGGGACTCTATGTGCTTGAATGCAGTATATTTTGTTCGTAGCGAAAAGACTTGCTACAGCTGATGCTTGATGCAAAAGATGAAACTGGGGGCGAAAAACTTGACAATGAAGATATCCAGGCCCAAACTCTTGTGTTCCTTCTTGCTGGTTATGAAACTTCCAGTACCACTCTGGGATTTCTTTGTTATCATCTCGCCGTTAATACGCATGTCCAGGACAAACTAAGAGATGAAATTGACCTTATGTGGCCTGGAGACGAGGTAGGTCATTTCTGAAGTTGCCTTTTTTCACTAGATGATTGGAATGATCTCATTTGCGCTGGGTAGAATCCATAAAACCTTTTGTTTTCCCTTGATGTTAAATTTCTACATGATAATCGATTAACCTTTACTTGAAGGCAGCCTATTTTCAACCACGAAATTCAGAGTGAAAATACTTACTAAAATTGGAGACCAATTTATTTTATTTTATCAATTTGAAGCCAAGACTATAGGGTCAGAGAGATTTTCATCGTTAGAACCAGAAAAATCAACTGGTAAACTCGTCACAGGAGAATGTTGTTGTTGCTGCCCATAAAAAACTCACTTTTTATCATATAGCAACATATAAAATAAAATTGTTGTTAAATTTGTAGGAATCACCATCCTATGACGTTCTTCACCAAATGCCTTATCTTGACATGGTTATCAACGAAACACTGAGAATTTATCCTCCGGGATTTCTGTAAGTAACTATTTTCCTGTAAAAAACGAACGGGAGGCTGATTAGAGATCTTATGAAAAAGATCTTAAAAATGTTTACGAAAGCCCCATGCTTCCTACATGCAATTAGGAAAGGCTTATGATATATTTATTATATAATACTTGAAGCCCCGCAAAGGTTAAAGGGGCTAATTGTCACCCCTAGAGGATGCGCGAGCCAATGAAGACAAACTTGAAAACGTCGGCCCGACTTTTTCAAGTTCTGTCGGTGATTTTATCTATCTAAACAATGAGTAATTTGCATAACCTCAGCGTGAATGCATGCTCTCCAGCTGACATAGCCCTTTTAAGTTCCTTAAATACAGCTATTTCAAGAACTGGTTGTCGGAAAAAGTGCACGCGACAATCCCGAAAGGTATTGTGGGTGGTTTTGAGTTCACTGTTCTTCAAAGAAATTTGAGAGAATGGCACGAGAAGCCATGGATATCAAATGTTTGCGAGTGCTAAAGAAAAGTAACAAAAGTAGCTTCGACAGCTAGCTGCAGTGTCAGGAACAGTGAATGATCGTATCCCATATTACCTTTCGCGACTGTCGCGTGCGCAATTTTTTCCGACAACCTTTCTCGAAATAGCTGTATACGTCATTCAATCCTGGAGTGGGACCATTTGGGTGGTTTTTGGGTGGGTGACATGTAAAATAATCTAAATACGATTGGCTAACTACAAACGTGACCTAGGAGTTGAGCTCGAGATTATCAAGAAGTATGCTTCCAAAACCCGGAAGTGAGACTTCTCCCCGATATTTTTCTGGGGAGACTGGGGCGGATGTATACCAGCTTCACCTCGTAGCAGAGAGAGAACTTTAAACTCAAGGTCCAAAGATTTACTTCAGGGCCCTAAGCCACCCTCCTCCTGTACTTACGGTATTATTCCCTAACCTCTCACTTATTTTTACCTCCTATTAGCCTCCAAAGAGATTGCAACGAGGCCTGCACTATTAAAGGAGTGCACATTCCCAAAGGCTTACCGATTATAATACCAGTCTATCCTATTCATCATGATCCGGACATTTGGCCAGAGCCTGAAAAGTTCGATCCTGAAAGGTAAAAGTAATGAAAAAAAAATGCAAGACAGTTCCTTGCGGATTTTGTTTCGCTATTGATTATCTGTGGTTGTACATTCTACCCAATATTTTTCCATTTCAGGTTCTCCGAAGCCGAGAAAGCAAAGCGCCATCCGTATGCCTTCATGCCGTTTGGTTACGGTCCTCGCAACTGCGTTGGAATGCGATTTGCTTTGTTGGAAATTAAACTGACGGTGGCGAAATTGTTAAAGAAATACAAGTTAGAAAGCACAGAAAAAACGGCGGTAAGTATGACAAACTCATTTAAATTGCAAAGCTTCAGAAATATATTTTTGCTTCGTAGCACAACTTGTTAAAGGGAATAAAATATATAATTATGTAGACTGTGAGCTTGTCAGGAAAAGACGTGCGGCGTTCGATGTACATTGAGAGAGAGATGGCAGGATTTTTTCCCTCCTTTAACTTATTCCCAACTTTTTGCAGCCCGCGTTATTTTCTCTTAACTGGTTTGCTTAGTTGTTTGTTAGTTACGCGTGGTAAAAGCAGAAATTCCTATTTGAGTTACTCTGTTACGGTTCCAATATTTTTTATGTTTTTCAATCTACTGTATTTACGCCTCCGAAGCCTACTTAATCCCTGTTACAGTATGTATAACTGTAAGTTTGTTTTCTGTGCCCTTGAACATCTAACAAAAGTGCCATAGATAGTACTTTGGTACTCATTTGATTCCTTTACCTATATAAATGCACGATGCATGGTTCAGCGAAGTGTCGCACAATTTTTTTAACCACTCTGAACCACCCTCAGGGTGAAAGAAATCAACTACATCGAGTATCGAGAGCCGAGTATTTTCGGTTGATTATGGGTTCCTCGGAGATAACTGAAGTTTTTTCCCTTCATTTGCAGGTGCCATTGAATTTTATCGTTGGCGCTGTGCTTACTTGTCCCCCGGGAAAAATCATGCTACGGGTCTCACCGCGGGATTAAAAGAATGTTGCTACAACCTAGTACTTAACTTAAGAAGAGAATTGTAAAAACTGACGATGTATAAGTGCTGTGTTTACTTTGCCTGTGAAAAAGCCGACATATCTCGACTCCACCACTGGTTTCCTCGCGAAATGACTTGCATACTGATGAGGCGTCACTACCAAGATGTGGATACTGTACTTCTGATTAGATGAAGAAAATTTTCAACCAATCAGGAACACAACCTAGATCAGGGTAGTGACGCGTGCGCGTGTTCTGTGCTCGTTTCTTAGACGTCATTTCTCGTGGAAACCAGTGTTCGCGTCACGATATGTGGGCTGTTTTTTCATCCCAGTGTTTACCTTTAACTGAACTTGCTGCTGTTTATTATACTATACAAGACCTTACCGAGATTTCTTTAAAAGGTTATCTGTTTGTTATGTTGGTTAATGAAACTTTCCATCGCATCTTCAGTTGTAAATCAATTGGTAGCCGCAAAAGTCAGTAGCAAATGATCGTCTTTGGGATCATGACTCTTGGAGACCTCTGAGACTCTCTGGCGGTCAAGAAACTCCCGTGCATATCTATCTCGTCCTTGGGAGTGACGTTGTTATTTAACAAACCTACTTCTGAAGGGGGCGTACCTGGAATAATAAAGATAACTTTGGTTTGCTTTACTACCGTTTTCTTTTTTGAGTAGACTTGTAGAGATAAACATATCTTTAAACATGTGGTGAGCTGTGGATCTGGGAAGGGGTGGTAAATGCTATTGGTCAGGGCAATTCCCTTCCCACATAATCTAGGATGGCAGCCTAAGTCGAAAATCATGATGACCAAGGACTTTCGGTATGTGCCAAACCCAGGAACACACGTCAACTCAAAACGCCCTGAAAAAACTGGAAATAAACAAATCGAATAAGTCCAATACGCCCGAACCTTAACCCTAACCTGTAAATATTTAGCTTTCTTTCTGTTGTCTTGTCCACGTCTTTTTGTTTATTATCCTTTTCCAACTTTTTTAAGTCACTTTAAAAGTGCCCAGCGCAAAAAAATGGGGCCTTCCACTGTTCACAATGTGTCAATGTAATGGCTTCCTAACAAGTGCATGCTACGTTTTTTAGTTAATGGATTCGACTAATATTATGCCTTCAACTCATATTCAAACACACACACGACCCCTCAATCACCTTTATTGCATTGATACTGATCGCGTTAAAATAACGGATACTCGTTAACGTCCGTTCATTTGTTTATGTTGTTTGTGCTCATGTAATCGGCTTCTCCCTGGGGTATGACCTTAGGCCAACCAGGGCTGTTGGAAAAAACAAGGCATGGATTGGTTTCTTTGCCCTGGGGAGGGGAAAATTAATGACATTGTGTTAAATCGCGGACGGCAACTAGTTCGATGCGACAAGGATTCATGATCGCTTTCCCCAGCCGTAAATATCGGGAAATCGAAAGGGGAATACGCGTTTGTTTTATTTCTACAGATAGAGAAGAGATGACCTCACCTGACGTGTTTGAGAATGCCGCGGTCAAACATAACGTTCCTTCTGGCCCTTCTTATAACAAATCGGAAAAACGTTTGCAAGAAAAAGCACGTGTCCATCATTATAATAGTAAAATTTGACATGCGCATTCAGGGACCGCGGAGGGGGAGGGGCTGGTAGGGCTACAGCCCTACCACTTTTATTGCTGGGATTTATTATTATTTATTATTATTGCTGCGGTTTATTATCTAGCGCTCCAGTTGACATGGAAAAAGTATGGATTTTTCTACTTGAAAGTAATGTTAGGCGTCTACTCTTGCATATTTCATGCCTCACGTCAAAGGCCCGGACGTCACAAACGAGACGCTCACAAAAATGTGCACTGATCAGAGCTTCGACCATTGCTCGCCTGGTTGGCGAACCGACGCTTCCAAGAAAGCGACGCGCTCCGGCCAGACTGGAGGTTGGTGTTGGTGCACCTGGGCTATTTTCCCAAACTGCCGAAGATCACTTTTAAGATTTTAAGAAGGGTCTATTATCGTCAGTGCTATCGATCAGCGCTTTAATCAGGAAAGCTTCAGCTCCTACGCCCAGATGGAGACTGCTAATGGTGACGACTATGAGGCAGAGTTCCAGATTCTTGAAGCATCATACAGCAAAGATGTTGATAGCCTGCGAACGGCAGACGTTTCTCCTCGCGACACGTCTTTCAGCGGCGATGAGCAAGGAGAAACGTCTGCCGTTCGCAGGCTAAGATGTTGATACATGGGCGCTACCTGGGCAACTAAGCATTTTGGAAGATATGTTAAATGAAGAGAAGACATCGTGTTTTGACGAAATCCTGTTGGCAGTGTCAAAGTTTCCAGAACCAGAACAAATAATCTGTAAGCTGCTTGCTGTAAATCCTGCTACCAGCGCTACTATACTGGCGAGCGTTCATTCTCATCTGCACGGCGTCTGAAGACGTGGCTTCGATCCCGGGGGGTACTCCCATACATTACGTATACGGGTATGTGCCGCCCAACAGGGTCGTGATTTTGAAGCTCCTGGTTTAGAACGGGGTATCCATTTCAGAGGTGTTTATTAGAACGGGGTATAATATTTCGAACTCACGAAAGCTCCAGTTTTGTAAGCAGTCATTTGAAATTATTCAAGGACAGATTGCTTTTAAAAAAACGGTTCAATGCGTTAACAAGCAAACTGTTATACTCTTGTTGCACCCTAGAACGGAGTATAAAAAATTGGCCCATTTCTAGAACGGGGTATCAGTTTTGGGGCGAATTCTAGAACGGGGTATAAAAAAATGGCCCATTTCTAGAACGGGGTATCAATCTTAGGGGAAATTTTTTTTAGAACGGGGTGCCAATTTGGAGTCCCGGGCGGCACATACCCACCCAAAAATACCCAAGTGCCCCCCCGGGCTTCGATCCAGGATGGATCACGAAAGTTTTAGCCTAGCAATGAACAGACAGTGTCTCTATAGGGTTGCACAGGAGTTTGTTTCCCGCAATGAGAACCGCAACTTCAAGAAGTAAGGCCCGGTTCAGACGCCGTACTTTTCATGAGCCGAACCTAATACATTGAATTAAGTACATGAAAAGTTCGGCGTCTGAATCAATTAGGAACGCCTGTTTCAATTTGGAACGGCTCACCCGTTCTTTTCGCCTAGCCCGGCCGGGAATTTCGCCTCTGGATCGACTTTGGAACGCCTTTGATTCAGACGCCGAACTTTTCATGTACCGAACCTAATGCATAAATTCTTATAACGTATTTTGTAAGCAGTTTGACCAAAATACGCATTTTTCGCCTTCTGAATTTAGTTCGGCTGGAATTAAGATCGGCGTCTGAATCAATTTAGCCGGTCTTAATAATTTGGGTCGGCCTTAATTCGAATTAGGTTCGGCTCATGAAAAGTTCGGCGTCTGAACCGGGCCTAACAATCTTAATTAAGTAGGTTTATTTAACATATTGACTATATTGGATAGTATAACACGTGTCGACCTTTATGTTACATTCTTTGAGGCTGTAAATAGGATGGCGCGCAAGTGCACTTTAAGTGGCGAAACGCTGACCTTAATATAATGTTTTCTTGTACTGGCCAGATTTTTTAGCCCTACCACTTTAAAATGGTCTCCGCGGTCCCTGGCATTGCTTCAATAGTCCGGATATAACACGTTTCCATTCCTGTTGCGGAAACTGCGAGAAAAAAACTATCATAAAAATTCTCCTCGAGATCAATACCCCAGATTGGCCGGGGTCCTACCCCTGGGGGAAGCCGATGATATGTGCATTAGATTTAAAAAACAAATCTCAACATAAGCCAGCTGATAAGCAGCTTCCCTGAAGGAAAGTAACATGCAGCTTGAATGTGCTTCCAAAACCCGTACGTATTAGCTGCGTCAAAAATATTATTAGCGCCGTGGGCTTTCTTTCGCATCTCCTCAGTTTTTCAAATCTTTATTCTACCTTGGAACAAATGCTTCCAGATATACTAAGATACAGAGTGTTCAATTTCTGCCGAGTCTAAATATTGCATGACGAGTGATTACATATCGTTTGCCACTTACAATGCAGAATGCAAATGAAGTCACGCTACACACGTTCAGGCTCCTCATCTAAGCGCCCCTTTAACTGTAAGAAGAAACAGGCATTTTGTAAGATGTTGAGGATAGGATCCCTCAGTCAGTACAACTGTCAGTAGCCTCCAGAGACGAATCTCAGTGTACACTACAAAAATGGTTGACCTTCTGCTATCAGCGATAGAATTTGCGTTCGACCACTGGATCACACTCGCTATTGGACTTGTGGTGCTACTAATTTACCGGTTTGTTAAATGTGGCAGAGTCTGTTCTTGATATTAATGATACGATAATAGTCAAGAATAATAAGTATTTTCTTTATTTTCACAATTCATTCATATAAAAGATCCTTACACGGCTTTGTGCATTCACAGTTGACATTACCACATTAACTTTGTCGAGATAAATCACCGATCACCTTTGTATTATCATCGGCAGAGTAGCAGTAAAGTTCAAAAATGCCATAAATTTAGGGTGCACTGATTTCTTTGGGAGAATCCAGTTTGATTTTCATGGGATTTCTAAACACGCCATAGTGAATTTCCCATGCTAAAAACATGGTTGCTTGCGTGACAGAGAGACGTGGTGGCCGTGACACATGACAAATACAAATGACGTCATAGTTCCAAGCATTGGGCGTGAGCCGTGACTTCTTACGTAGGATTGCAAAAATTTTACTCTGTTTATAACGTACGGCTTGGCAGCGATACGATACTCGGGATGTTTGACGAAGAACCACTTTGTGAATTTGATACATGTAAATTAATTCATTTGATTTATATATATTTTTTTAAATAGGTACTACATCTCACCATATTCTGTATTCAAGAAACGTGGAATACCTGGACCAACGCCGATTCCAATTTTTGGAAATTCAGCAAGTATGATCTTCAGTGTAAGTTGCAATTTATTTTGACAATGCTCATTGGACTGTCGTCATTACGAAATAGATCGGCTGCCCTATCAGGGGTTAATGGAATACAGAGTCTGTTAATAGAAGAGATTGTGGGACATCCAGGATTCTGGATATTAAACCTTAAACGAAATAAAACTTAAAATGATGTCTAAAGTGTTTCCTCTTCCCAGATATGTTGAGGCACGTGAAAATAAGTTTGCTTTTTACTATCGGTTAATTTATAGATTTAGCTAAGGCCAAAAGCGAAGTTCTCGAGGGATCTTTATAAGAAATGACTTAATGTCAACTTTTGCCCGGGCAGTGCCGTAGCATGGGGAGGGGCCGGGGGGGCCTGCCCTACCCCAATAATTTTTACAGGCACGTTTAAGCTGGTCAATGGACACACTCTTCACGCTGCTCTTCGGTTCAAGGGGTTTATCTCGGTTCGATAAAGCGTCAAAATTATTTATTTATGGCTTCAACCAACCGGCTCCTGCTTCAACAAAGAAAAATTGCTGGAAAGTAACGCTCTCCCAAGGCTGAAAATGCTATTTTAGAGACCCTGTAGTTCAAAATCTTCCGGGGAAGCATGTCCCCGGATCCACCTAACAGCCCCCCCCCCCCTCCCCCCCAATAAATCTAACCTTGCTACGGCACTGTTTCGTAAGCAGCGAGCACAGTGAATTCAACCTAAGAAAATGAACCTGAGCCTGTGATACAATCATGTGACACTGGCCAGCAATACCTTTTTTGACAGCTGTCATTTGACCATAACATTAAAATTTTGTTTCTCTGAAAATTCCTTTTACAGCCCAATTCTGTTCCAAGGCTTCAGATGGAATGGTATAAAAAATATGGCAAGGTCTATGGGTAGGTTTATCAGTAGAATTTCAATTCTCCATGTAACTTCCCTCTATACTGTAGTCTTTTCACATTTATAGAAGGAAACAAGTTTACGTTTCTAATCATGAAAAGGAGTTTATGTTTTTAGCTATAAGGACACGAGCGTGCTGTTGGTTTTGACTTGATGAAACATTCGTTAAAATTTTTTTTTCTGTTAGACGTAAACCTACTGACAAGCAATACGTCTATATCTGTTTTGAATGTAGTGGAACCCCGTTAATACGACCACCGTTGGGCCATAAAAATCCTGGTCGTAATAACGAGGTGGTCACATTAACGGGGTCTTCAAAATAATAAAATGACTCAATGTTTCTTACGTTTGGTTTGAAAGAATATGGCCGTAATAACGAGGTGGTCTTATAAACGGGGTGGTCGTAAGGCGGGGTTCAACTGTATGAATTAGGCAATGAGTGTATTATTTTTCATAATTCCTTTTTTTGTTTTCCTAAAAGCATGTATTTTTTCCGTGAGCCTTTTCTGATGGTGGGTGATCTAGACATGGTGAAGGAAATACTCGTCAAGGAATTCACAAAATTCCATGATAGAACGGTACTTATATTACCATTCTGACTGAATTATTTTGAATTTTGTACTTAGTTTTTTTTCACAAAACTTTATACAATGCTACGCTTTTTTCGTGATTGCACTTATTTTACATAATAAGCAAAAGAAAATCATCATTCTCTCTTGTATTAAGACTTTCACCCTCATAGTCTGATAAGGTAACAACTCGCCCGTACTTCATAAATTGTACATCTCTTTGCATTCTGTATTACACAGGACATATTTAATTTTCCAAAGCCTTATGATCGAATGTTAACTATGGTTACTGGACAGAAGTGGAAAGACATACGGAACATTTTGACACCAACTTTCAGTGCGTCTAAAATGAAGCAGGTGAGTTATGCTGGGGCACGTAGACTGAACAGAGTTAGCTCATTCGACAAACAGTACAGAAAGTGGAATCCCCCGCTCTACGGACACTTGCTTAGTAAGGACACCAGTGTGTATAACGGGCAGTTAAGTTCGTCTTGACGAAAAGCTCATAAATTCTTTCTCTGAATTAACACGCTTAATACGGACGCCGGTTAATACGGACACTAGCGACACTTTGTTTCCCAAGGCAAAAGCTCTCGTAATCGTCAAACCTCGCATTACGGGCCGGGCAGTGGTTATCTGCGCACTGTCAATGACTGGATATCTTACCAGTAAAAACCCAACAGAAACGGCGAATGACCTTTCAAAGTTTCTATCTAACATTAAGTCCAGCTGGCTGATAAAAGCTTTATTAGAAAGTAAAGTCACGGGTTCCAAATATCGTGTTTCAAGAAAAGTACTTTAAAGGTATAATTTAGTCTGAGACTGTGATGAATGATCGTGATGTTCTTTTAGGATGAACTTGTTACAGTAACAATTCAGAAATTGAATAAATTTTCTAGTAAAAATGTCTGCGTATTCCTAATAATCTAAAAAACATGCGTCCGTGATGTTTTTTTTTTTAAATTGCTGTTTAATACGGACCCTTAGAGTATACAGACACTATGGTGTGTTCCCCGGGAGGAGGGGTACTGCCATATATGGGCTATATAGGTATGTGCCGCTGTGAAGGGTATGGTTTTCAAGCTGTTTACTCTGGGATAGGGTATATAAATCAGAGAGTTTGGGTCTAGAACTGAGGGTATCATTTTCCAGGAAACTGATCAGCTCAAGGAGTTGTGGTGTGGATGAAATCTTTCAAAAGGATTTTTTTTTCTTTGCAATTTGATTTGAATGTTAAACTTTAACATAATTGCTTTAAGCATTGACTTAGTCTTTCACTTTTCTTTGATCCGTCATTTTAGATGATGCCATTCATGAATGAGGCACTTGACACGCTTTTGAAGAAGATGGATAGAGTTTCCAAGACAGGAGAGATTGTTGATTTCCACAGGTATAGCTAAATAAAATGAAATAACCAATGACAACACTGGCGTCGTGTAACGAAAACGGCCGACATCTTATATCCTCCATCTTGGATTTCCGCCAATCGACATGTTAAAAGATCGCTTAACTGAAATTAAGATTAATAAAAAAACTAAGGATGACCGTAAAGTACAGTACAGTTTAACCCTCCAATCATGTTACCACGGAGAGTTGCAATGGCGACTACATGGACAACCAATGCAGCGAAACCACTCTTATCACGGCTTGCGTAGACCTCTGTCCCTACTCAATACAGACATTTAATAGTTTAGCGATGTTTATCCAAGGGTCCCGTTGGAATGGACGCTTCCACTCAGCAAACAGCATTTTCCTTGTCAACATACTGATTGGACAATGGCAAACATGAGCAATATATTTTAAGTGATGGCTCCTGATCACATTTCTAGGTGTTGTTTTTTGTTATGGATAGGATGTCTGTGTTGGTGTATCAGAGTCTAAATTCTGTATTCTCTGAGTCTTCAGGGGTTGGGACTCCACTCCATCCACCATTAACCAGTTACCTCAACAACTCCATTCTTCAAGTCTCCAGCTTCCTTGAGTCCTTAAATTTAGAAGGATAATTACAATTCGGTCTCGAGAAGACCTGTGAGTTGAAACGTTTTGTCAACGTTCTAGCATACACGATAGAACGTCCGTCTCATAGAACTGCTTTTGCTTTCAATATTTGCCCAAAATCCGTTAAACTTTTGCCGAAAGGTTGTTGGGGTGTTTTTTTAAAAACCATAAATTTTATTAGTTTACAGAGAGCACTTAGGGTGAACCCACCTGGCTTGCCTCCGAGCTACTACAGCCGGTTAAGAAAATACATATATAAAACAAATTGCATTAAACTTTCTTTACACACATGTTTTATTTGAAATTTCATTTACAGATGGTTTCAAAGTCTCACCATGGAGGTTATTTTATCAACAGCATTTGGAGTCCAGGCAGAAACACAAACTGTGGAGAAAGATCCCATCACTGAAAAAGCAAAGAAGGCTCTGGCACCGAACCCTATTTCTGCATTAATGAGTATAAGGCCTGTTTCAGACATCGTGCTAGCCTACTACCGTGCCGAACTTAATTGATTGAATTAAATTCGACTTTAGCACGACGTTTGAAATCAAGTCTCGCAACTGCCGTACCGAACTCAGTTCGTAAATTATTAATACATTAGAATAGATTTTTTGAAAAAAAAAAAAAGTCCACGAAACCAATTTTTATTTTTAAGTTTTTTTTCCGTCTAAAACAAACATTTGGGTTATAGAAGCAACGTAATTTTGTTCCAAGCAAGTCTAAGAATATCCGTGTACCGTGGGTACCGTGGTAGCGTTTGAGAAATTTCCTCCCTCAAAGAAAAATAAATCGCGCTGTTATAGAAATGTAGCTTTAGGTCACGTTGAGTTCTTTAATTTCTTGGAGCTTGATCATGATTGCTGTACGTTTTTTTAATTTCACATAGTGCTGTTACCCTTTAGAAGCTATCTAGCAAAGTACTTACCAGACCCGTTTAACTTCCGCGAGATTGGATCAGTGGCTGAAGATATTATCAGGGAAAGAACGAAAGCAAGTGGCCAAAGTAAAACTCATGTAAGTTTGTCTACGCCGGCTGAGTGAATTAACAAAAGCTTTTTAACTGTTTTCGAAGTCTAAATTAAAAGGTCCCCAACCAAAAGAATTTTTCACTCTGTTCACAGTCCCCTATTTTTTCCACCCAAACTGCCCCCCTCCCCCTAAGTAGTTTTGACACTCATCCAAAATGGCTGCCCGTAACGCAAAGTGCTCGATCTCCTTGATCTTATGGAAAAATAGTCTAAGAATTTTCGTCCATTTCCGTCCTTTTAGTGTAAATTGGAACTTTACAAATTATTAATTAAAAGTTAAGCTTCATCAGTCTAGCTACGAATTGTGAAGATTCACAATCTTGCCTACTTTTAATAATAGACCATAATATCTCAATGAGAGGTTCTTTTTCTAACGTAAACACTCACATTTAGATTCCTTTTCTCCATTATTTCAAGTCACAAACAATACGTTCCCTAGCTCAGAGACCCATAATGGGCGTTTGATATCACCTACGGCTTATTAGTAATTTTGGGGATACTACCCAGAGAGTGCTCCTCTTTCAGCGCTGGTGACCCTGAACTAAGGTGCGCCGACGATGATGTCAGCAAATTAATCTTGATTGTTTTAAACACTGACGTTTGATGACATTTCTAGGACATAATTGATACTGTTTTTCACTAATCGTGAAAAGGTGGGCGAACGTCACAAAGGTCTAGTTTTCTATGACAATGATATGATCTTAACATCGCCAAATCCAAGAAATCGGAACAGTATATCCATGAGAATTTCGAACTTTTATCTGTCTCTTCGATGAAAGCTTTGCTCGCCATTGTAAAAGTCACTGACGCGAGACATAACGTCATACTGGTACGAGGACTGAACCACCGATTTCCTTGGAGACACCTCCCCCCAGCCCCGGTACAAGACATTACCATGATTCACTATTATCTATTATTCAAGCGTTAATCCTTTCGTTTATTTTTCTATCCAATGATTTTATCTACAATGGTTTTAATTTTGTTATTTTTTTCTAGCCGGCGAGTAACCTCTCCATCTTGCGCCTTCTCGCGCAGCTCCCTTCACTCGTCCAAATAGGAGAGCTTGCTTGCAGGCTATGTTGTTTCCAATCAACTGTTACGTTTTGATGCGAGCTCAGCTTTTAGCCTTGGCTCAATCTATATAATAGTATTTTGTTCACAGAGGAAAGACTTGCTGCAGTTAATGCTTGACGCAAAAGAAGAAAGCGGTGGAGAGAAAATTGACAATGAAGATATTCAGGCTCAAAGTCTTGTGTTTCTTTTTGGTGGTTACGAGACTACCAGTACCACTCTGGCATTTGCATGTTATCATCTCGCTCTTGATGGGCAAGTGCAGGACCAACTGAGAGACGAAATTGACCGATTGTGGCCTGGAGACGAGGTGGGTCTTTAGGTATCTATCGGTTGATTTGCGTTGAAAATGGTGAAATGTTATTGGTCCTGTTATGCTGAAGATAAAATCAAGAGGGTTGGTCAGTGACTGAATAACATCATCGGATATTATGAAGAGGTGTAGAGCGATAGAGAAGAGTAATTCGAATTCATGATTTTTGCCAATTCTTGGGATGAGTTCTGCTACGCATGAAAGCCTCATAGTTCTATCCAAGTGGCACTTAAACGTTTTTCTCATGATTTGTAGGAATCACCATCGTATGATGTTCTTCACCAAATGCCTTATCTCGACATGGTTATCAACGAAACGCTCAGAATTCATCCACCTGGATTTGTGTAAGTAATCCTTTTCGCTAATACATCCAACGCTCCCCTTGCGGCCACACTCGTAAGCGGCCAGGTCTACAGTTAAGACCAGCTTGGTAATCAGTATTCACGTTGCAAAGCATTTTTGCTGAAATCTCCCACCAAATTGAGAAAAAAAAAAGGTAACGAAAAAAGACCAAAAATACAAAAGAGGGCATAGATGGACTCACTGGCTAAAGATGATTATAGATTGATATGCATGCTAACTGTTTACCAGAGGATATCTTTCGTTGTTGTATCATTTTCTTTTTACAGTACTTGGGAGACATATTTGTTTGACACAGAGCTGTGATTCTGTCATTTACAACAAGTTTCTTGGCTAACGTTCATGGTCGTTACGGATCGACGCGTTATTGACTTTGTTAACAAAATAACTTAGACGACCGTGACACAGTCCTTTTAACCAGCGAAAACCGATTTAAAGAACGTTTTCAGGGCCAATCGAACGTCCTCTGCTGGCATATACGTTGCAGTTATAGTTTTTCCTTTGTTTGAAATTCATTAGTGTACATTTCCATACCCAACAACAATAGAAAAATAAAAATTTACTGAGTTAAAAATTTAACTGCAACATATATTTTCGTCTATAATTGACTCAATTTACTCTGCGCTTTGACAAAGTTTCATAACAATCTAACTTTTTAACTTATTTGACCGCAGAGAGAGAACTTTAAACTCAAGGTCCTAAGACCTACTTCCAGGGGCCTAGGAGACCCTCCTCCTGTACTTACAGTATCATTCCCTAACCTTTCACTTCTTTTTACCTCCCATTAGCCTCCAAAGAGATTGCAACGAGGCCTGCACTATTAAAGGAGTGTACATTCCCAAAGGCTTACCGATCTTAATACCAGTCTACTCAATCCATCATGATCCAGACATTTGGCCACAACCTGAAACCTTTGATCCTGAAAGGTGAGTCAAAATTTATCTCCCAAAAATACTATGATACTTACTTAGTGTGTAGGCTCAGCCTTGTTTGGTTTCATTACGTGGGTCACATTCTACTAGTGATGAGTGCGCTATCGACGAATAGCAACGTCAAGCAGCTTCCGTTCGATATATTAGGCTGATTTAGCAACAGAACGGGACCGTCAGTTGACGACATTGCGCGCAAATCAAACAACTGGCTTGACCAATTGCAGAGTGGCAAATTGAGCACCGGAAGTCGTGTTTAGTTCTTTCCGGGCGCTCTCCCGTCGTCAAATGACGTTCCCGTCCGTTGCTAAATCAGCCTGTTGAAAGGTGGGTGGGGCGAGGGTACACTTTTAGTTTTGTTTATTTATCTGTAGCAAAGTGACCTAGCGCTCGTGCTAATTCACTCAGGATCAGCCTCGCCGTAGCTTTACTATTCTAGTCTTCTTTGTTAGAATATTACGGTGGATTTTAAAGTTTTTGTTGATAACTGGCTCGAGTATTTACGATTTATTTGATTTGGGAACGACAAACCTTTAAAACCGAAAGAGCTAAGACATAAGACCCCTCCATGTTAGTTTTCGTTATTACGAAAGCTGAGAGCCCAAAAATCCAGCTCATCGAATTATGAAGTCAGATATGGCCTTTCCAAGTCTATTCATGTTAAGGAGGTCTGTGAATTTCTTTGCAGTGGTTTGGTTATATCGGGTTAACTGTTAGTATTTAACGGGAGCTCCGCTTTTACGCTGGGCTAAATCTTCTAAAATAGCATTTAGCAGTTACGAAGAGGTCTATAGAAATTTGCTCCCATATCTTGCTTTGCTCTGTCACATTTAATTTCCTTTTTCTTCCTTTTTTTTCACAAAATGTTTATTTTTTTAAAATAAATTTCAGGTTCTCTGAAGCTGAGAAAGCAAAGCGCCATCCATATGCCTTTAACCCGTTTGGTTACGGGCCTCGCCACTGTGTTGGAATGAGATTTGCCTTCTTGGAAATTAAACTGACGCTGGTGAAAGTATTAAAAAAGTTCAAGTTGGAAAAGACTGACAAAATGGAGGTTCGTGTGGATGGGATTTAGATGTATATGTTGTGGTCATATTGATCTGAGATCAAATTTCATTTTCCCTTTTTTAAGGGCGTGTTCACATGAGCTCGGTTGACGCAGGGCTGGCCCGGTTTCCGAGATCTCGCCTTACCTCTAAATCCTTTGTAAAATTTGTTTCCCAGAAACCTAAAATCCAAAAAGCCCTTAGGGCCTGTTTACATGGAGGTGGGGGACCCTAGGTAGGTGAGGTAACCTGCTTAGGTGGGGTAACCCGTCTGTCCATATAATCTCTCATTTTATAGTACGTTTACATGATAGGTGGGGTGACCATATGAGAGATTGTATGGACAGGCGGGTTACCTCGCCTACCAACCTCGTCCGCAGGGCACTTTTCCCCGAAACAGGCCCTTAGTTATTCATTTAACCCAAAAATAGTTCCACTGACGAAATTTTTGCACATTACTGCATATCACCTGAATTTATTAGGCCTGTTGACTTTAATTTTCCTGACTCCAAGGGTAAAATGTTATTTAAGCAGTTTCCTACTTTGTTTTGGTTGACCATGGATTGCTCAGAAATTATTTCACTTTCTCTTTTTTTTGCAGGCACCATTGTATGTTAATACAACTTCTGTTCTCACTTGCCCTCCGGGAAAAATCGTGCTTCGGGTCTCCCCGCGGAATTGAAAAAAAACAACGAAGACGAACTTGTTATGTGATTTTATATGTCGTTGATTTAAGCTTTGTTTAGGTTAAATGCAAGCGAAGTATGTAGTATTCTTTTTTTATCAAACAAAGTGAATTGAAGCTACTAGCTACACCACGGAACCAGAGGCAGAGGATATTGATACGGACTCAAAAATCTGTAGGCTGTAAGAGGGGATCGGATGCCATTTTTTTTGGAAAAGATGCCATAGAAAATATTTTATCTTTAAAAGTATACATGTCACTTTATTATTTTATTCTAACGTGCGGAGCAGTCATTTCCGTGCCCTCTTGCCCAATGCCCTTGCGCGTGAGCGCGTCTCTCGTGCTTGCCCGCTTGGCTACAAAGTAAACGGAAACGACTGCTACGTATGCTAAGAGAACTCGGACCGTATTAACTCGTTTTCATATGGGGAAAACAAAGGGTAGTATTGTCTCGTAAGGCCTAGGATGTAAATGATCGCCCCAGGTAAGAGAATCCAAGAGAGACTTGGATTCTGGATTCCATGCCATGGATTCCAGGGACTTGGATTAGGGACTCCAGTCGTTAGGGGGATTCCGGATTCCAACGACTTAGCCTGTGTACAGCCGCCCCTTACCTCAAAAAAATTTTTTTTGAGGTAAGGGGCGGCTGTACACAGGCCACCAACGACTAGGTTTCCGGATTTTTGAGAAATTGTAAATGCCGAGACTAGCAATATGTTTCAATAACTTGAACTACCTGCAAAGTAAAACATCTCGTCTTTACCACATTCGACGCACGTATCAGAAATGTAAAATGTAAAAATAAAAATGTTTTAAAATCCTCCACTGACGAGGCTCGAAGAGCGAAATATATTTGGAGGATTTTAAAACATTTTTGTTTTTACATTTTACATTTCTTCTACGTGCGTCGAATGTGGTAAAGACGTGATATCTTATTTTGCAAGTGGTTTAAGGATTCCGGATATCACAGGCAAAATTTTCCGGATTCCGGGTTCTACAAGCAAAAGTTTCCCTGATCGTGGAATCTGGATTCCCTTTCACCGCGAGAAAATGGCGCCCGCTCTCTTCCAGACTTCGCGCGGACAACGGATCAAGAGAGAACGCCTAGGGACTAGGCTGAGGTGATCCGAGTCCAAGTTTTGTACCTGCCTGACTGCCGGACTATGTCTTTGAGTATCGAGTGACTATAGAATCAGTATAACCCACTATGCAAAGAAAGACCCTTACTTCCAAGCACAATAAAGAACATGTTTTATATTCGAAATGTTTCTTTTTAATCATCGCGTTACTTTGTGAAAGATAATTGCTTCAATCTTCATTTTCTTACTAACTTTATCTTCATAGCTCTCGATCAGTAATAACATGGTAGATTGTATTCATGTATTCATTCTCATTTATTCATCATCATTCATGTCCTCATTGTCGTCATCATCATAGCTATCGTATACCTGCCAACTTTTTCTAAGATACGAGCGTGAGATTTTTATCCTGGGAGTGCTGGAATTTTTGAAGACGACACGATCGTTTCCGAAGATTCCCGAAGAAGGCCGAAGTCTTCCAAAGACGTCCGAAGTCTACCGAAGGCGAAGTTATCGAGAAAACGCTTATCCACAAGGACCGACGTTAGTTGATAAAAATCAGAGATCGGGAGGAAGGTATTGTCATTTATTAATTTTACAGCTGGTTTTCGTTCCTTACATGGGTCTGAGTTAACATATTTTTGGAAATTCAAGCAAGACGGCAACAACTCACATTTCAATCAGGCGTGAGAAATTGGCCCGCAGGCGTGAGCCGGCGTGAGATCGAAGTTTTCAACCCGCAGGCGTGAGGCTCACGCCTAAGGCGTGAGAGTTGGCAGGTATGCTATCGCCATCATTGTCATCAAGTCAAATGATCTTTGCCTTGTCAAAACTTTACAGTCAAAGCATGTCAAGCGTTCCTGCCGCTAGTGGACTAATAAATTCATGAATGGAAAAATGATTCGGTTTGTCGATTCAATAATCCATTCATAAAATGAATGATCCAATAGTCAAATTGGACCTCGATTCAATAATTCAATGTTGATTTGGTTTATGAACAAAATCTACCTGTTCTTTATTCTTGTCTGTTGCGTTCAATCGTATTGGCTTCCCTTTTCCTACCGTTTACGATTGCGTAAACTGACAAAAGCCGAGGATCGAAATCCACCAATCACCGCACATACACTGACCACAGTTTGACCATCGTGTTACTCTGATTACTGGCAGCAAAATGGCGTACATGTAACAGTTTGTTTGGGTTTGAACTTCAGAACTCGCCCGCACTCGGCTTAGAAGAAAAAGAAGAAAAAACAAAATTCTGAGGTCGACTCAGTGTGGAAAGTGTAGTTTTTCAAAAAACAGTAATCGAATCAACATTCGATTATTGAATCGAGACTGAATACGAATATTGGATTGTTCATTTTATGAATGGATTTTTGAATGAACAAACAAAATCATTTTCCCATTAATGAATTCATTAGTTCATTAGCGACAGGAACGCTTATTGACCAGCTTTGACTGTAAATATTAGCCGACCATGCATCTTTACTCAAAACACTTAGCTTGTTATGGTTACAAGTCCTTTTTCTTAACAACAACAACAACAACAACAACAACAATACAATTTATTTGCATAACTATAATTACTTACGGTATTGCAAAAGGTGCGTAAAATAAGAACGAAATTAGAAAAAGAAATAAAAATCATTATGATAAAAATAACAGATAATCACGTGACACTATTCTTGCATGACAGTACACTGTCACGCAGATTATTCAATAATGAAACTCGTTTACATATCTTACCGGGTCGTACCATTCCAAAGAAAGTGGAAAACAAAACTTTGAACCACTAATTTGACTCTTTTTTTTCCTTTTCTGCAATGTCCTAATTTTAAGGTTAAGCGAATTTTAATTTAAAAAGGCCAAAATGGTGGTGTTGCTTGACACAGCATTCTTCAAATAAAAAACCGTCAGCATATTTCGTTTCCACCATCAAAAAGCTCCACAGATGTACGGTGCATCACGCTTTTGAAGTACATTTCTTCAGTGACGTCCACTGTACGACCACGACAAACAAGGGTTGTGCACCGGGTCAGGGAGCTCCCAAAATAAACTGAAGCATCGATGTTTCTATCTTTGAAGCCTAGCCTGCTTCTATAATTAACCAGTCTCTTCTAGTTGCTATGGATAGAGCCTGTAAAAAAAATCGTAAGATAGTGCATTTAACACGAAACGTCTGATATTGAGAACACAATTTTTAATTACATCTCCTACCCGGGAGAAGCGCCGGGGGGGGGGGGGGGCTGGGGGGGGGGGTAAGATTCATTTTTTTGAGTGACGTTTTTACTGCCGTTGCCGTCGTGGTTGTTTGAGCTCTAGTTGCTTTAGCGGCACGTACTCGTTTCGCGCTTCGCGCTAAATGCCGCGTTCGCCTCGCTTGGATAATAAAGCTCCTGTTAATTTGTATGTAGGCTATAAGTGCTTGAACTCTAAATGGGAGAATGACGTGAACCATGACAGATGACAATGACCTACTATTCTTGACGGACCGCATACTCGAACAGTTGTTGTGACTTCTGACCCACATAAAACCAATGAGTGTATCAAAATTCTTCAGTATACTATGTGAATGTGCCATTTAAATGACCTCTAGGTTGTAAACAGTGTTTTAATATATGAGGCTTTTGTGTTTTTAAAATTTTGTGTTTGGTTTGCCATGACGACTGACGTGACTACCGCCGATCGACCATCCGATGACGTCATTTCCAACCTAATATTGTGCTCATGTTGCCCATGCGCATACCCAAAGCAGTGAAGGGTAGATTTTTGCGGCAATTGTGACTTCTCACTCTTTCTCACGGAATTTCAGAAATATTTCACGGACCAACAGCAAAGAACTGTATAATTCCAAGACCTTTATCAAGGTCAACATCCTAATATCTTCTTTTTAGAATCATTCCGGGTTCAAAGCATGCTAGCTGACCGAGTTTGTTTTGTTTGGTTCCTGCTTCTGTGGAGTTCTGCTTATTCATATCGTAAGTTGAGTTTCTTTTACAAGTGCTTTCAAAGCTCTTCCGCAATGAACAAAATTTGCGGGATGGAAATCGTGAGATGAAAGATAACATCATTATTTTAATTTCACAGGACGACCGTTGGGTGATTATATAAACCACTACGAGACGTTAAACTATGACACAGCTCCGATTCTTGATCAACACCATCGCGTGAGGCGTTCAAGTCCAAACAGCGATCATGTTGTCCAATTGAATTTAAAAACTTCGCAAAGGTAATGTGTTATAACATTTTACCAAGCTGAGTATTTGCTACTTTCAAACTTAATTTAGCGAGAAATCTTATCTTGGTTTTCGAACCGATTTGCCTACGCTCGAACTTTACTGAATCTGCTCTATTATGTTCCCCGTTTGAATCACTCCTTGATATACATTGTATCGAGTTTTTTGTTCCATATGAAAAGGAATCTTACCATTCTTTGCTATTCATAAACGTTGAATGAAAATGTTGCTTATTAGAACGAGACGGACTTGAGGGAATAACCTTGCATCGTCTAGATATGAATGCTAGATACTGTATATTTATAACGGCTGTCAAACAGCTATGTGGAACAACTCTATTTATTAAGCTTCTATGGTTTAAGCTTTAATCTGCATTCTTTAAACACTTCCAAAAAAAACAATAATTATTTTCGAGATAAACTTCTTAAAGTATGTAGATTTTTCGTGGGCATGTAGTTATTGTTTTCTATCTATGAATTTATTTATTGAAGTCTGCTATCCTATTAAACAAGTTCATTGTGAACTTCTCTCCTGGCTGCTTCTTACATTTGAAGGGATAATTTTCTATTCTTTTGTGTTTTACAAATAGTTTGTTTCATATAAAAAGCAAATATGGCATGAATGTTGTAATATTTTTAAACAGCTTGGTGTTTCCTGTGGAGTTAATGTTTTGCTATAATAATGTTATATTTCTCCATACATCACCCACTGATAATGTAATATTTATAAATTTACTATCCAGTACACATTAAGCAATCATTAGATTCAGCTTTTGTATAATATGTAGAATTAAGCAGATCACGGAGGCCATTAAGTAACTCTCTCTAAGATGTGTACAGTAATTAATTATTAATATTCTTCATACATGTGTCAAAAGTAGGTTGAGTTTGATCGTCCAGGTGAACGTAGTTCTGAATAGGACTGTTGTTGTTGACAGTGATTGACGTTTCGACAACCTGCGCGGTACTCATCTTCAGAGTCAAAGTGAGTTGTATCACGTCAGTTGATGGTATTATACTCTGATTATTGATCTGATTGATCAATTACGTTGCAGTGTTATTGGTCGTCTGTCAGTTAAGCCGTGATGTTATTGGCTGTGAAGACTCATAATCGGTAATTGGTGCATTTCGATCTGTCTATTGTTACAGTTAAACAGTCGGCTATTGTTAGTCAAATTGTCAGTTCTCCAGTCGTTCTCTCGTAGTTGGTCTTGCTTGATCTCGTCAATAAGTCGTTTGTGTGGTGCTGGTAACTGTTGGCTATGATTCAGTGGCATTTGTTCTAAGTTAGTAAACCAGCTTTCTAAAGTAAGACGTTGATAGCAGTCTGTAGAATACGTTATACATGTCACAGAGTCCCAGTCAATTTGATGTTTCATCTGTAAATGGTGCTCAGCAATGTGATTGTTGACGTCACTATTCCTCGTTGCTTGTTTGTGTTTGGTCAGTCATGTGCTAAGGTTTCTGCCGGTTTCACCAATGCAAGAAGCCTTGCATTCGCTGTATTTGATCTTGTATATTGCTCCCTGTCTGTCCTCCGGTTTGTCTTCGTCCTTGACATTAGTAAGCAGTCGTCATAAAGTGATTATTGGTTTGTATGCAACACGTATATTGTAAGGTTGTAATATACGTGTGAAAGTTTCACATATCATGTGAAAGCTGAATCAAATGACTGTTTTAGTTTTCATTCAAAACATTTCCTACCTCTAAACATGCTTATCTGTTAGGGTGCAAAGAAAGTTAGTTTTACGGCTTCCCATTCGGCAAGTTGTTGCGAGTATGTACCAGCCCAAAAGTCGTTTAAGTAGCCCAAAAAATTTTTGATGAGCAGCATGGATTACAGTTCTTCTGTAGTTTGAATTTCCCAAAAAACTTCACTTGCCCTTCGGGCTAGTTAAGAACGGGATTCACTAGCCTGATTGTAAAATCCACAACCCCTGGCTATCGGACACGATTTTCTTTGCACGCTGTCTGTATGTAAAAATCCTGTCGTCAAAGCATTTGCCTGATCCTTTGCAGTTCTGGAGACAGTGGAAGCTCCTGTAAGTGAACACCCTTGTGATGCAAAAAGGGTGTCCACAACTGGGGCTCGCCACTCACAAAAATGTAAGACTACAAAGTTTGTATGCCAGTTGAGAAAAACGGGGTTTTGTGAAGGTGGCCGTAAATACATGTATAGCTGTTCGCTTACGAGAGTGTCCATTTGAGAGCTTCCAATGTGTGAGGGGATATTTATCACGGCAATCAGTAAAATTTCAATATGCTGGGTATACATATAGTAAGCTAGAAATTTAACAGCTGGGAAGTGTTTTTGGGTCTATTTTGCTTTCATTTCCTACAATACTAGCCAGGGCTGAAAATAACGGACAGCAGGTCGCCGGTCATGATGACCGGCGAAATATTTTTTAGCCCGGACAAACCCCGATTCTGGCTGGTCAAATAATGAATACTATTATTATTTTTTTTTTGCCTAAGGAATATTGAATTACACTGGCAGTAGATCGTTATTACTACATTGAATGACATTATCATTTTTGACCGCAAGTTGGTGAAAAATGTATTCACACGTTGTAGAGTTCCTTTCCGTGGTTTTTGCGTGTTTTTATGTCCGTTCTACCTTGAGTATCGTCGTACGGCGGTTTCTGAAGTCTCTAAAGGTAAAAAGTGAAGTGTAATTCCTTTTCAAACTCTCATGTGTAGGAAATGGAATACACATACTGTTAAATGAAGTTTAGGAATTATGAAAAAAAATGATTTGGGTTATTAAAGAACAAAATCTGCACACGTTTGTTTTACGTTGATGTTCAGAAAAGAACATCGGTGAAACTTGATCTTTTTCCTTGCCGGGCACGTGATCAAAAGTCTCCTCCACAAAGAAGAATGGTCGCTAATGTTTTGGGCAAAGAAGTTGAATTGCATTGGTGAGGAGTTTGTTCCACAAACAGTGTGTTTATTGTCAGAAGTCAAAAGATATACAGCAGAGCTTTCATTTGGGTCATCGGGCAACACTTTATCGCAAAGGGCTCAAAATAAATGTCAACAGAAGTTTGCATAAAGTTGTTTACAAGAAGGAGAATTAAGCGCCCAGATAGTTGACGACGTTCCCTCTAGATTAGCTTAAATTTTTATCAGACTATTCTGGAAACGAGTCCGCAAACGAGATTCTTGTTCGACGTAAAGAAATTATTATTATTAATAATTGATGCACTAACATTATTCCTGGAGAAACAGAGGACGACCTGCCCGAATTCCGTCGAATTCCCAAAGAAAGTCACATTACTGATTACAGTAAAGCAGAAAGTACAGTACAACCTGCAACGTTGCGTTACTCCTCCACAAGTCAGTTTGTTATTCACTTTGTTGCATTTCATTACGACATGATGGCATGAAATTAATTTATTGCAGTGTTCTTTTTCTCAGAAGGGTTTACTGGAAAGCAGTAAAAGACGCCAATGAAAAAAGACATCACTACAGTGTTATAGAGCATTAAGCGACAACTGTATGAAAAATAAAATGTTCGTATCCAAAAATGACAGGCAAGACCGGAGTTTGACCGGTCAAGTCTGCGATCAGGCTGGACATTGTCCGTTGACCGGCCGTTATTTTCAGTTCTGCTAGCCGGGGTTCGTGTTCATAGTAGAAGGAGTAGTTTGGCTCTTTAGTCTTAGCATGATGTTTGAAATCTTCTACCATTTTGTTGACTTCTGGCTTGCCAAAACAGCTGCACCACCTTGCCACTTCTCTCATTTTCTGTTTACATCACTGCAGTCATTGACATCAGCAAACATCTTGATTGTAATATTGTAATTATCTTATTATCCACTCCCCTCAGGGTATTTCAGGGAACATTGGTCAGGGGGACTTCTTCCATCATATTTTGATCAATGCTAGATATGGCCAGGTGACAAGTGAAGAATTAGCCAGGGAATTTAAACTAATCATAAACAGTAGAATGTTTTGAATGAATGATAAAGTAGGATAATACATTACATCTACATGTACTGTAAGTGGTTTGTGCTTTAAAGATTGAAAGCAAAGATCATGTTACACTTCTTGCTGCAAAAGTTTCATTTTGGACTGGGTATTTTCGAGGATAGCACCTAACAAGATAAGACTGATCTTAAAATATTAAAAGTGAATGGCAAGGAAACCCATGAGAAACCACTGGGCTTATAAGTAACAGGCACCCTCAATAAATTATTTAAAAAAAACGTTATTTAAAAAGTGTATTATTACAGCAAAGTATTAACAGTAGTATACAAGTAAAATCAATGGTAGAGCTACTAAAAATTAAACATTATAATGTTGTAGATAATAAATTGTTTTAAAGATAGTTGCGCAAAAAAAGACAAAATTAAAGAAGAACAAAATGAAAAGTAGAGGCAAACAAAAGAAAAATAATATTTATGACAAGAGAAATGCTTTCAGGTTTTTTTTGATGAGTGTTTCTTCCTTTTTTTGTAGAGAATTTAAAATTCGCCTCAGAAGGGATCTACAAATTTTTACTGACAACTTTCGTGCAGAAAACTCTGAATTTGATCCTGCAAAAGTTGTAGAAGGGGATGTAGAAGGTAGAGTATGCTGGTTATCTTATTTTGAGCATTAATTATATATGTTACAGGTTAAAATAAAATTCAAGTTAATGTCGCAGTTCCTTTAGCTAGGCTTCAAAAGTGTAATAAAACAAGACAACAAACATATGGCATAATAGGGGGAACACCACTCCGCAATCGGTGTGGTGGGTGACTTCCATAGCCTGACCATAATGGCCTACTTATCTCCCCAACGCTAATTTACGCGCACTAGATCAGACAACTTCAGGTAAGTCCAAAAGAAGCAAACTTAATACGGCCTAACACTCCACGGCACTACGAGCTGAAACCTCTTGGCAGCATCGTGCAACTTAGGCAAATATTTTTTTCTAGGAAGTTTATCTTATCAGGACTATGAGCCGACTCTGCCAGCACGTGCTGGGATACAATCTAAATATAAAAGTTTGCGTTAGAATCAAAGCTTGAGGAAGTGGCCGTGAGACTTAAACTGAAGGCGAAAGAACGGGGTGAGCCCGTGTTTATTAGGAACAACAACAAAGCCTCCAAACAGAGGGACGGGTGGGAATTACAAAACTTTAGGGTGGTTGAAGTATACCAACTTAGCAGTACAGCTGGCAATGAGACACAGGACTTTTACTAGGCCTTTTATGGTCCGAATGCCATCCCAACATAAGCCAATAAAAAATACTGTACTACTGAATAGAACGTGCACTAAAGTGCTCCACAAGATATGTATGAGGAAAATTATTTTTTACTAGCCATACAAAATGAGCGATACGTTAGAAACTAGCCCCAGCTGCAACAGAAACAAGGATTGCTGTTGTATCAGTAATTTCCCAGCTATAGAAGTGGTTTTACGTACTACCCAGTACTTTTACCCCCTTATACAAGTAAAATTCTACAAGATTTGATAAGGACTATAGCATAACACTGCATTACATGTTGCTGATTGAAGGTGTCACGCTCCATTAACTGCCTTTTACAACTGATATGTAAAACCTTCTTAAAATTTTTTAACCTTGGTAGATTCTCAATTTCCATTGTCTACGAGACCTAATTATTCAAGAATAATTGTTAATAACCCTAATTATCCTAGTAGACAAAGAAAATTGAGAATCAACCCAGGTTAAAAAATTTTAACCTGAATTTAAATTTGACCTGTAACATATACAATCCATGTACAATGAACATAAAATAATGTGCTTATCCAATCAATGCTTTTAAGACTTACAGGCAACAAAAAAAAGTTGCCATGCGATCTATTAGCCTGCATAAACAGCCATCTCTCCTTGTTCCTTTCCGCTTGGGACTTTTTGCCAGGAGAGACGTCTGTGCATCAGCGACATCAATTCCATACTGATGATGTAAAATCTGTCAGGAATCTGGTCAGGAGCTCTGAATGGCATGGTGGATGTAGTATTACATGTATATTGTTTTACAACAAACGGCCACAAAGCAGTCAATATTTGTGGAATATATTCTTCTGTAAATGAAGCATTTAAGAAATTTGCTGTATCTTTGCAGAAGAACACAAAATTTTACCAAAATCGACCAGGAGAAACCTAAAATTGAACAACAAGTTTACATTTGTACCCCAATAACCACTGGCTCACTTATGTAAACATTGATTTACATCATCTGTATGGAACTGCAGTCGGCGAGGAGGAGCAAGGAGAGGAGATCTAGAGACAGCTGTTTTCGCGTGCTAGTCATCTATTTGGTATTTACCAACAATGATCTTGTACAATGTAGTTGTCTTTTTGGTACACTGTGCATTTTTGAGAAGTATAGCAGCATTATGAAATTTTTGACAACAAGATAGAAGTGCTGTTGTTGTCAGGATTCTTTATAATTACCGGGCGGTATAACTTCTTTCCACACAGTGATACAGTTTACAAAACGTCCATGCATGGTTATGGATTATCTTGTTGTCATACACTACACTACCTGTCTCATTTATTTTACTTGTTCATATTTTAGGTCATAAAAATTCTCTAGTCCATGGTTTCATATCCGATGATGGAGTGTTTGAAGGCAAAATTCATGTAGGAAATGATGAGTATTTTGTGGAGTCTGCAAAACAGTATTTCAAAGATGCACCTCAAGACTTTCACTCAGTGATCTATGAGAGCAGAGATGTTCATTATCCACATGCATATGGCCCTGGCTGTGGGATCAACGATAAATCTAAAAGATGGATGGATGAAGTTAAAAGGTATCTATCAGTTTCGTTAAAATAACATACAGTGTTAAAATTAATAATGTTGACCCTTAAAATACATGTTAAGCACACTTCCTCACATATCCTTTTCTTAGAACTTTAACCAGAAGGCTTTTTCAGAGCACAGCACTGTAATTATAATATTATTTTATGTTTACAGACAGAATGAGATGTTTACATGTAAATGTTGCTCATTGTATCATTGTTACCCTGAGTACATGTACATTTACAAGTTAACAGGTGACATTTTGCAATGCAATCACTGTGGAATGTCATGTCTGAGGAATAAGCACAGAAATTCCATACTGATTACATGTCACTGCCCAGATCTGGGAAGTGCTTCTGATTGGTTAAAGCAAATTTCCCTTGTGGTGTGACCAATCATTAAAGTACTACCCTGATCTAGGTGCACAAATTAGTCATGTACAGTTGTATAACTAAATGACAAATGTTATCAGTATGGATTTTCTGTGCCCATTTCACAGACTTTATTTTGCAGGGAAACCAGCAGTGGCATCTCAAATTACCAGCTGTTTTCTCTATCATTTTGGTCTGACTGATAACATAAAGCATGCTGTGTGACACACTGGTTGATCTTACCTTGTACATGCTGTGAATGTGCATGTATTAAAGCTTGTTTCGAAGATTTCAATATTGAAACATTTATACTGTACTTCTCAATGTAATTTTGTTTATGCCAGGATGCCTAATGTGTGGTTCCAGAAAATATCCATATACCCACCCCAAGGATGGTCACTGGAAATTCCAAAGGGGAGGGGGATGTTAAAGGCCAAAACTTTTTAAAGGAAGGTATGAAACTAAACTGGGATTTCCAGAGGGCCGGGGGCATGGCATATTGTTTTTTCTGGAGCAACACAATGAACTAACCGTTCAGTTTCAATTTTATCATCTTAACTGACATACCTTATGGTATCTGTATATTTACATGTTTGGTTGAAAAATTAATTGATTTTTGTCATTGTTTAATGTTGCTTTCTTCAGATCTGCAGTGAAAGGAAAAGTTGTTGAAGATGAACATGTCACCCATTTTGAGCCATTTAAATTGAGATACCGTAGAGCGGTTGGATCCATTGATGAAAAAAAATTGTCTTGTACTTTAAAGATGAATGTGAGTTGATGTGATGTCCATGCTGTTTGGATCACACCTTTGTTTCCTGCTATAAAACCATACTATTAGGGTTTTGTTTTGAGCCTGATATAGCAGTTTTGATTTATTTGGTCGTTAAGTATTCAAGGTCTTGGACATGATAGTTTCACTTCCTGAAATGCCAGGCTTAGCCTGCGAAAACATTGGTTTCTCCTCGCTCTTCACCGCTGGTGACTTTTCGCGCGGAGAAACATCTGCGACTCAGCGACAGAAATTCCATAAATAATGACGCAAATCAATGTTTACATAATAAATCTGGTAGTCATGGAGTTCCAAATATAAATGTGTCTAATTTTATGTGTCTTCTGGTCGATTTTGGTAAAGTGTTGTGTTCATCTGCCAACGAGCTCCAGCAAAACTCAAATGCTTCTTCTAGAGAATACTACTACCGCTGTATATTCCTCAAGTATTGACTGTTTTGTGAGAGATTCTTCGCATTTACATTTGACCTTTGTGGCTTTTTGTCTTTAGTCTGTCATTCGTAAACAATAGCTAAAACAGTGTAACTACTCCATCAACCAATCAGCACTTCTGACTGGATTCCGGACAGATTTTACATAACCAGTATGGAATTTCTGTCACTGAGTTGCAGACGTTCCTCTGTGCGAAACATCCCCAGCGGCAAAGAGTGAGGAGAAACAGATGTTTGCAAAGGCAAAAATGGCTTCCTGAAAAAATAAAGCTAGCAAGAAAAATGGCATTATTCACATGTATAATACCGGTATATTGATTTAGCCAGGGCTACAAGCGAAGCCTCTGTTTATTTACTCTTAGTATAAGCAATTAACTTAAATATAATAATTAACTCTAAGCCACTAAAAAGAATCCACCTTGTGAGGGAGGAGCTGAGATGATTAAGAAAATCCCACAAAAAGACCTGGACTGAAAACTCTCCCATCAAGCTAAAAGTTTTATGTTTACGGCAAAAAATATCATCTTAGTGCATGATACTCCGCGGTAGCAGCCAATTTGCAGGTTACAATTTCCAGAGTCAATATAGAGCTGTAGCGAAGAGGACAGCGACGGCAGCTAAAACATCACTTTTAAAATGAATACACATTTTGTCTTACTTTGTTGATTGCTGAAAGTGTCAAATGTAGGCAAATTTTCCAGGAGTTGATTTCTTGGGGACTGCACTGAAGTTTAGAAAGAGAAAGAAAATTTGTTGTCCATTGTTTATGTCCACCATTAAACATGCAATTAGGCATTTTCACGTCGAAGTCGTGCAGTGACAACAAAGAAATTAATGTACAAAAAAGCATAATGCACATGCGAAGTTGTTGTTTTTCCAACCTATTGCTTTTTTGACATCTCATTGCCATTGTCATTGCTAAGGCTCACTTATTAAATACTTGTAGGAAAAACCTATGTTTTCTTCTATTGGACCCAGAATGGAACAGTTACACTGTATGTGTAAACAAGAGCCATTATGGCTCTTGATGTGAATTTTTTGGAAAGCATGACTAAGCTAAAAGCACATCCTTTAAACTACATTTTTCAAAGTTTTTTCTCATATGTCAAACAAACAAAATTCAATATCTCTACTGGAAAAACTCCATTGGTTGCCTCTAGGTGAACTGGTTAATGTTTTGCCTAGACAAATGCAAGCTGCTTATCTTGGATTCCCTGGACATCTGCACCCCGGCAAAGTCTACTTAGTACCTCCCTGCAATTCCGTACATACATACATGTATATGTGCATATACATGTATGTGTATGCTGACATCATGTAACAAAATTTTTAGTTGTGTTATTGATAGATTTCCAATTTCATGCGCGTTTGTTCAAATCCTTTTAATTTCCAAAAAGGCTTGGGAATGCAGGCTCTCCTATTAATTTATTAGTTGTGAAATAAATCATGAACCACAATCTTGGATTTTTGAGTTTATCCTGGATCAATCACAAGGACTTTTTCAAATGTTTAGACCTTAAATTTTACAGTCATTTTTCAGACAAAATACCTTCTAATTTCTTTTTTTGTGTTCAAACTGTTTGCATTTGTTTCATTCATTTTAAAACTTCATCGCCATCTTGACACTGATTAACTTGCCATGGCAATTTTGTAAGAGAAATTTCTTGTTATTGATTGAAATTGTGAAATAAAGAACCACAAGGGAGTCCTGCAATCACAAGGACTTTTTATTTGGCCAGTTTACAGTCATGCAAAATACTGTAATTTGAAACTGTTTGCATTTGTTACAATGAACAATCATCCTGACAAACATAAATCGAAATTGTAATCCCTAAATAGCAACAGGACACCCAAGGAACCACAGGTAACCAAAAGATTTGTGTGCTGCTGGCCTGGGGGCTCGCAGCAGTATTATCATAATGGTGATGTGTAGTTTGTCTTGAATTAATTAAGTAATTTACAGTCTTTTGTTTGGTTTTTAGGCTGATCATCTGTTTACAGCAAACATGGCAGATGGTAACAAGGAGAGAGCTTTGTTGCTGATGACGAATCATGTGCAAGCTGCTAATGCCATCTACAAGAATACAGGATTTGCTGATGCAAACAAACCCGAGGGTATGAAAGCTCTTACTTATTACACAGTAGTTGTCCATGGAAAGGCTCTGAAGTGTATCCAGATGGAATATACTGTTCTGCTGCAAAACAGAAATTTACTTTTCCAACCATTTTGAATATCAATTTTTCCAAATGGAAAATGTACATTTCGTTCATAAACTGGCACTTTGTTGCAAGCGTCATTCGTGTACTTTATGTCCTCATGTCAAAAGTATGTGTATGTTCTGTCAGTAAGTTTTTACAGTTCAACATCTTAAAGTAACTGTCAGAAATTTTCATGTGCTTTATTAATGGGGGTATGGACAAATTATGGATCAGGAACTGGTGCAATGATTTACTGATATTAAATTATTTTCATGCAAGATTTCTAGGAGACTTGAAATTTATGCATTCAGTTTAATTTCAACTTGATTATAACTACTGTACATATATTAATCAACAACAATGTACCTTGATTGATAAAGATAAAAATAATGTTGAAATTAAGTTTAGAGTGATTGTTATGTACATGTACTGCCATCAGCTCCTGGTTCCTGTTGAGTTTGAGTAATTTTTTGTACTGTAAGTTATTTTTATGATCTATAAGAGTGTCGTCACTCAAAAATTCACAGCTCAAAAGATAAATAAATCATTGTTGATGTCAGCTTAGATTTGTTGCATCCTGTCTGTTGCTTTTTAATTTCTTTCAGGAATTCAGTTTCAAATCCAGAGAATGCGTGCCAACGACAGTGCAGATACTAAATACCCAAAAAACCCTTACAGAGATGAAAACATTGGTGTTGAGAAGTTACTTGAGTTAAATTCTGAAGAAGACCATGATGATGTGTGCCTCGCCTATGTCTTCACTTATAGAGACTTTGCTGATGGTGTCCTAGGACTTGCTTGGGTGGGTGAAACAGGTAATCAAAATTATCATAATATTTTGAAATTTGTAACAATAATAATGATGATGATGCTTTCTTTGAGACTTCAACATGTGTACTGACTGTGTCATTTGTCTCAGCATGCGCTGCTCGACAAATATTAGTGGTTGACATAAAAATTCATTATGATCGTAATACTCATGCATACCATACACACATGTAGAGAATAATGGATGACCGCGTGGAGATATGAAATTTCTCTTCAAGTGTTGAAAAATATTTCACAATTGAGCACTACAAACAAGTGAAATATCTTTGAACATGAGAACAGAAATCTCGTACATGTAAACTGTATCTCCAAGCGACCATGTAATTTTCTATTTTATTATATACCAGGGGTTTTAATAAAAATTGAAGTAGCCAGCAGGTTTGAATAGATTAACCTACTCCATCAACAAGGGGCCATTGGTTCCTGGTCAGCATTAGATCCCATCAGCCGTAGCCCCTTTCTCCCCTTATGACATTTACACAAGGAAGAACTGTTTTCTGCTTTTATATCACACTTAGACTTTATTTCAAGCTGGAAATGTTCATGAAAGTGCAAGTCTCTTCAATTTGAAAGAAAAAAAAATTTGTAATGATAGGCACCTGGATTCAAACCCACGACAAGAAGTACAAGTACACCACACTAACCACTAGACCACTAAGGATTTGTTGGAGGACAGGAAAATAATAATTGAAGAACATATTACATCAACCCCAATCCAAAAAAAACCTAACCTATTTCGAAATAGTGCTGAACACCAAACTGTAAAGGCAGTGCTTAACCATAATCAGTAAAGGCAATGCTTAACACTAATCAGTAAAAGCAATGCCTAACCCTAATCAGTAAAGGCAGAGCTTAACCCTAATTAGTAAAGGGGAAAACTACGTTGTGTAAATTTCGTGAGGTGTCCGAAAGGGCTAAGATCAATGGAATCTAATGATAACCCTGGTCCCCCTTTTCTAGGGGGGAGGGGGTAGAGCACGTTCTAGCCCAGAAAATTTTGAAATTTCAAAGCCCTTAAATGCGATTTTCAGCGTTCTGGGGAATAAATTTGAGGACGAAAGAGCGTGTTTTTCATTCAAGAGAATGTAGCTTTCAATTTATCAGTCACACAATCAATTCCTACAAGCAATAAAGTAAAACAATTGATGAAAACTAAATTACGTACTTTTGCACGTAAACAAATAATTCTGCGTAAACCTATGAAGAAACACATCATAATTTATTATTATTACGTTTTTATTCAGATTTTATGATATATTTTTTTGTTTACAACGTTTTTCAAACTAGTTGCTTCTTCTTTCTAGAAAAAAGTAGCCGACCTCACATGAGTAAAGTAGCCAACACGTTTCGTCAGCCGTCAGTGCTTATTGAAACCCCTGATACACCATATTTTTTCGGTTATAAGACGCGCCCCAAACTTTTCAATGCAATTTTTCTAAGTTGACAAACTGAAAATCAAGCCAAAATACTCGGCTATAAGGCGCAACCTCGATTTTTGGTGATGTTCACACTAACTACAACAACACGCTTTCCAAGAAATGTTGATTACGGCCATTCTCGTTAAATTGCACCTATGTGAACAAAAGCGAAAAAGGTTACATATTTTGATCAAAGGTGAGAAAATCACATCTATCAACACAAACAGCACTGTTTTCTAAAGCTGCAAATTTTTAGGGAATCTGTTTCTGTTCCTTAAACAAGTCAGCTGTCTTGGTTGCGGCATATTGACATCTGTACATTTATTAATATCAAGATAAGATCGATCGTATGATACATGAGCCTGAATATTTGTTAATTAACTACCAAATCTGGTAAAATTAAGCCCTTGTTTATCAAAATAACTGTGATAAAGAGCTCTCACAGTTCTATTAACAGATTTGGGAGCTTTCTTTGGAAAACAAAAGTCTGAAACAAGCGCAAGATCGCAGTGTGGAAATGACTGTTAACAAACTGCAACCTTGGGTCAAGCACGCGCTCAAAATTTTTGCCTGGTTACCAAGTATCAGCATTCAATTTCAAATGATCAATGCCAGATGATTTGTTTCGAATGCAAAACGATTCATTCATCATTTAATACCAGCTTTAGACAATGTACATTGGTAGAAGTCATTGAAAACCGATAACAAAGAAGAGGATGAGCAGCTACAGCTTTTAGAGTCTAGAATTTGACTCAATTTTGTTTTGTTGTCGGAAGATACTCAGTTACAGACGCACCCCGGAGTTACAACAGATTTAGAGCTATCAAGCAAACTTTCGTTGAAACAAAACTGCGCCCCATAAGTGAAAAAATATGGTAAATGCCAATGAGATACAAACCATTTTGCTTTGATATTTTTTGGCTGTGAAATGAATAATTTATCTTGTAGCCATAGCAACGATGATCTTTTCACTTGTGAAGTTAGCATGTCATTTTTCACATGAGAAGATGTCATGTTTTTGTGCAAAAGCCCACCTGGCACATTGGTGGTAGATGTACAATACAGTAAAACCCCGCGACTAAGAACCTGTTAGATTAAAATTTGCCAGTTAAGTCCCCTTTGTATAAGAACCTGTTTAGCCTAAAATTTGAAACAATTTCTTATTTTCTAAAATCCATGAAAAAATTCTGTACACTTAGGCAAATAAGATAAGTCAACATCCAGAAACCTCTTTGGAGACATAGATGCATACCCCTACTGCAGTGTAATTGTATTATTGTTATTAATACAATTACAAATTAAATACAGTATATAAATATGAGCAAAATGTATTAGTACTGACTGTTCTTATGATCATTTTTACATAACGTCTAATTCTGGTATGTAGATATTTTTTTTCTACATAATTGTGCTGTATTATGTAGCCTTAGAAACACTGATCTTTTCAAGTGTGAAGATAACATGTTACATATACATGTATTTTTACATGTGAAGATAATTATCAAAATGTTTTTGCACAAAAAGCTCACCTGGTATTTTATTGGTGTACTATTTTCACTGTAGTTACGTTGAATTAAAGACTTAGTAATTGTGTGAAAGTACAGATTGATATTTACACAAAACTTTTTGCTTTGTCATTTTTAAGGTGGAGCTGCTGGTGGGATTTGTGAGAGAGGAACAACATTTAGTGATGGTAAAAAGAAAAACCTTAATACAGGAGTGGTTACATTTATCAACTATGGCAAGCAAGTTGCCCGGAAAGTCTCTCAGATCACTTTTGCCCATGAAACTGGCCATAACTTTGGATCACCTGTAAGTTGCAAGTTTTTTTAGTTTTTCCTTTAAGAATGTTGGCCTTTTTGTGTGATGGTAATCCATTATGTGAAGTGAACTTTATATCATATGTAGTGGCAATGAATAACCATCTAGATACAGGCACACATGTAGCTGGAGATGACAATACTGTTTGTATAGAGTTCTAAAGTAATGATGTCATAAAAAAATAAATTTGGGAAATGATGGGATTTGTTGGGACATTATGAAAGAATAACATCTAAAGGCCCACTTGCAAGCCCCCTATTTTGCCCTGGTAACTCCGTAAAAATCCTTCAATATTTGCCTTAGGTCATACATGTAACATAAAGAACCAAGTCTGGCATTGTAAATTCATCAGTTTTTGGTGATTGAAAAAGTGAAAAAACATTTTAGAACATTACATTTAAGAAACGTTCTTATTTGTAGATTTGGTCAAATTTTACCAAGGTCACGACAACAGTCTAAATAATTAGCACGTGAGGATTTTTTTTAAAACACTGTTGCTAGATTTTGAAAAAATTCCCAATTTATAGGTTTCATGTCATTGTTATTCTGTTGCTTGTAATCAGTGATGTAAACAAAACATACTCTAAAATTATGTTGAATGTTAGATATGTTGATATACTTTGTGACTTTTTGGTGCATTTACTACAGCCACAGTAATGGGGAACCAAAGACAAAGGGTATAGGACTCGAAAAATGAGTGCAAGTCTCGTTAACTTGATCTTGTACTGATATTGATGCGTGACTAGAGTTAATGAATTCGTTAAAACTTTTAAACAGCATGACACTACTGCTGATTGCTCTCCTGGAGGTAGTGCAGGAAACTACATCATGTTTGCCAGGGCTACTAGTGGTGATAAACCGAACAACAGACGTTTTTCACCATGCAGTAGGAGTAAAATGAATGCTGTTATGGAGGTGAAGGGAAGATGTCAGGATTCAGATTGTTGCTTTAAAGGTACAGTGTCATACTTGTTCAAGATGTATTACGGTCAACTCCTCGAGCAAATTCTCCAAACTGATCTCTATACATTTCTTTAAAGAATAAGTTGAGAGAATTTGAGAAAAGATCAAAGCATTTTCTCTTGGGTGATCATTTAATTAATTCTCATAACCTAATCTCTTGACATCGTGTGGATATCGTTAGGAGAAAATTCATGTTGGTCACTATTGGGACTTAAAGGGTTAACAGGCAGCTCATCTAGAGGTGGTCTCTGGTTCTCTTTACTCCCTTAGTTGACTCTCTACAAGACGGACATTACTCCCGCTTTAAGGGATTCTTAGTGCTGTTCCCAAAGGTGCACACCAAGGACAGTTGACTGTATAGGCCACTTGCACTAAGAGATCACGTGACCAATGCTTCCTTTAAACAATGAGTTGGAATCTTGCTGATGCCAAAAATTGTTAGAGCACATGAAAATTATCGTACACCCGAAATTTGAGAGGAAACGTATTTAAGGGAGATGTTTTATGGCACTTTGATTTTTCCACTAAGTAGTATCATTTGTATTGGCCGCCATCTTGGAGGGCATGCTCTTGCCCTCCAACATGGCGGCTAAAACTACTTTTTGCTTATATCTTGTTCAACGTTTGATAGTTACGCTCAGATGTGCTGTAAACGTTATCACATCATCTTTTCAACATTTTCCTTGAAGTTTAAGTGCAAAACTTGTGTTCAGGGGAAGGTAGTTCATAGTTTTAAAAATCGCATTTTGGTCACGTGACCATTTACGAACTTATTCATTTTAAGAAAATGGTGCGGGTTTGAAGAACCAAATCACCATTATTTTGTTTAAGATATGACCCGCTTCTCGTTTTTCGAAGGCAAAATCATATAACTTTCATTTTCATAAAAACGATGTCGCATGACCTCTTAGTGCAAATGGCCTATTATTCAGTTATTATCAAATGATAGGATTAATAATAATAATAATAGGATTATAGTATGTTTTGAATTAAAGCTATTGATTTTAATACCTGATCAACTGCAGCTGCCATACATGTACAGTGTGCGATGATCAGTGAATTGTACATCATTTTTAAAAGTAATATTTCCAGAGTTATTTGTATGCATTTAATTTGCTATGACTCTAGTGATAAGAATTGCTTTACCAAGCAAGACGTTTTTTACCTGCTGATCATTTCCCATTTTCTCGTGAACTTTATTTTCGATAGAGCAGTGTTACTAAAAGGAATTTTAAAAGTTTGGTGACTCTTAGGGGTCAAAGGGTTACTTACACACGAACTCTGAAGTTCAAAGGCCAACAAACCCTTGCCTTCTTCGCTGCTGTAAATCGTCTTTCCGTATCTCTTAGGAAACAGAAGCTTACTTCAACGAGTTCAAAATGACATGGTTTGTGATTTCTGAATGCTGTTATTGTATTTCGATCCACTTTGTGTGTTTCTGAGTTTCAAGGGTAATTGCTTGTGATCATAATTATGATTGACGGCAGTAAAAAGACAATTGTAAGCTGGCTTTTAAATTTCGGAGATCGCGTGTTATTGAAAAGTGCAGTAAATAACCTCATAATTCATTTCAACAGCTGCTGAGGAAGCAATCTGTGGTAATATGGTTGTTGAGAAAGGCGAACAATGTGACTGTGGTTACGGAACGGATGATTCATGTATTAAGGATGACATATGTTGTCAAGGTCGCAATGGGACTGGGGCCCCTCTGCCAGGAGACTGTAAGCTTTTGCCAGGAAAAACATGCAGGTTGGTCTCTTTTTTCAGGTCGACAATATACACGAGATGTCCTATGGATTTTCCAAAAGACAAAGAAAAAAACTTTGCAAAAGCCGATACAATTATTTACAGCAAAGATCTCAATATACCTCTTTTCTAATGTTTGACCGGACCTCGCAAATAGTACGAAAATATTCTGTTTTAAAAATTAGATAAATGCCACTTACGTCAGTAAGTATAACAATTTGCTTGACACCATGCAAGTAATGAAAGTAATGAGTTGAGTTTGTCAATCAAAATGAAAGGAAATTCCAAACGCACTTCCGGTAATTCGTTGAGTGCGTGGGGCCCAGAACAAGGATATCGGGACTAGATGATATTGCGAAAGGTTAACAATGTGACTGTGGTTACCGAAGTGATACTTCATGCACCCGGGATGACCAATGCCAAATAAAACATGCAGGTTGGTTTTTCTTTACATGAACATACAGTGTTGATTATTGAGGGGAGAAAAATAGGAAAGATACCACCTGGGAGACTTCGAGTGGGAATGCTGGACCGAGTAAAGAATGGCAGCCCTTACGTAGCAGTCAAGAGGCTCACCTTAGATCGAGAACTATAAGGAAGGACCTGCCTGTGGGCAGAATACACAGACACAGTGTACAGCACAAAGCTTGCACTGTCTTGTACAAAAGCCCTTGATCTTTAGGAGTCATTAAAATTTCTCAATTCAATGTACATTGTACATGTTGTACATGAATCTTGTAGAAGTCCTTTCCTTTTCTGTTTGCGTCTCAGATTTCTGCTGACTTCAAGACAGGCCCAAAATACGTGCGTTTTGAATAAGCTTAAATTTTTTTTTTTAACAAAAGACAAAGTAAATAAACTACATGTACATTTGCTTGGAACTTGTAGTGGAGAGTTGGCTTATTTTCCAACAAAACTGATCCATTATTTATTTGTAATGATAGTGTATCTTACGGTTTTAAAGAAATGTAAAAAAGTTTAACACAGCCATTTGAAATTCCATCTTTTTCTATCTCTCCGACATCACGCTTACTCCAAGTTTCTCACTTTGCAAGTGCTAACGTTTATGTCCAGCGCAACAATGCGGCTGTTTGAAGTCTACCTGTACATCTTGTTCCACCAATAGCTCAATAATGTGAGAGAAAGTACAGTATGTGATGTGATAAGGCATGATGTGATTTTATGAGGTGTTATGTGATGGGATGAGGTGAGGTGGTGTGAGTAAGTGTGGTGTGATGTGATGAGGTGCAACGTGATGGGTTGTGATGAGATGTTGTGTGATGCGGTGCGGTGTGGTGTATTGTGGTGTGATGTGATGCTATGAGATGTGATGTGATGTGATGTGTGTGATGAGATATGATAAAGTATGATTGGTGTTATTTGTTGTGATGTGATGAGATGTGTTGTGATGTGGTGTGTTGTGATGTGATGTGAGGTGGTGTGATTTGATTTGTTGTGATGATAATGATGAGGTGTGGTGTGATAAGGTTTGACGAAAGGTGATGTGATGTGATAAGATGTGATGTGATAGGGTGTGATGTGGGGTGATGCAATGTAATGTGGTGTGATGTGATAAAGTGTGATGTGGTGTGATTTGAAGTAATGTGATGAGGTGTGATGGGATGAGGTAAGATGTGATGTGATGTGATATTCTACAGTAATAACATTTTTTAAAAAACTGGCAAATACTTACTTACAAGTAATACAGGTACTAACTTATCTTCTATTTTCATTTTGCAGCCCAAGTCAAGGGCTTTGCTGCAGTACTGCCTGTACCCCACAAAATGATGCTTTTCTTTGTCTTAACGAAACGGAGTGTTCCAATTCTTCTTTTTGCAAGTATCCTTTGTGAATTTGCGTCTCATTGCAAGTAATGTATAGAGACCAAAACATCAGTGGTTTGTTAAGTTGCAAAACTCACCTAAAAAATTATTATGGTAGTGCTCCCTAATGAAATTCTGCGCAGGAACATTTTGTTTATAGATAAAGGCACTACGTAATGATTAAAGCACATAACTGATCTAAAATAGCAATATCCTTGTGACATGGCATGGCCTTTTTAGTATGTCTACATGTTCATTAGCCTTCTATACAGGCGTTTTTAGGGGAGTCGTATTTCCGTCAATCCCCACAGGAGGGGAAAGGAAATGAGACTCCCCTAAAAACACCTGCGTAAGAAGCTACACGTTCATTAAGGGGTTCGTTTTTTATCGTTCGTCTCACGATAATCACTTAGTTCAGGCGGATCGCGAGGTTTCAACCACATACTGCAGGGCTTCTGACTTCATCAGGCAATGTCGTCCTCTATCAATACCAACACTGCTTTGGATCGAAACCCACTGATCACTAGCAACCCGCACCATGCTACTTAAAGTCCTGGTAACTTTTCGGGCCCGAAATCAAATATTCAAGTCGAAATATAAATTATAAGAGCGCAGGTCCTGGCTCGCAAACTACTCCACTTTGTTTCAATAACTGATAGTTTCATCATGTTAGATACAAAACAATTGAAACCTCGATCTTTAATGTAAAAGGAGACAGCTTACCGGGCCCGTTAATTATCGGGACTTTCGAGAAACGCGCCCCTGCTCAGTAAATCGACACCATCATCTGACGAAGACCGGCAGTACGCGTCGAATCATCGCCATGAACAACCGATGAACAAGTGACAGCAACCTCAGCTCGCATACTGCTCGAAGGTGTGAGCTCCTGAGCTGTCGTTCTTTTCCTTGACATCGAAAGAATTCAGCGGTGCGCAACAAAATTTATTTCATCCTTGCTTTATCGCTCCAAAGTTAGTTATAAGCAGAGGCTTTTGAAAGCAGGGCTTTCACCTCTGTGGTATTGGCACGAATTTTTATTTCAGTAATGTACCCCACTAGACCCAGGCGCACTCTCTCCTCTGAATACGATTAGAGCCAACACAGTTACCTTTAAGAACAGTTTTTACTGCAGAGCTCCAACAACACTCCACCGACCGACCCACCGTCGGAACGTTGACTATCCAATAGCGCACTTTAAGAAAGAACTTTTTAATTATTATTTCTATCTTACTAAGTCTGCCTATGATGTCGACACCCCCCAGACCCATAAGAGTGTGTGTATCAAGTGCCACACTAGTCCTGCTTTCTCGATCGAATGTATTTTTGATTCTTGTATCAATGTTTGCCCCAGTTCTGACTATTGTGCTCACTTTGATGAGGCTATGGCTCGAAGATATCGCTGTTTCAGGTCAATACCCATACACCAAAATAACGCTCTTGTAGAGTCGTAGCCTAAGAAAACATCCGTTTCTCCTCGCTCTTCGTCGCTGGGGACGTTTCGCGCGGAGGAACGTCTGCGACTCAGCGGCAGAAACTCCATACTGATGACGTAAAATCTGTCCGGAATCCGGTCAGAAGCGCTGATTGGTCGACGGAGCAGTTAAATTGTTTTAGTTATTGTTTACGAATGACAGACAAAAGGCCACAAAGGTCAAATGTAAACGCGAAGAATCTCTAACAAAACAGTCAATATTTTTGGAATATAGTCTTCTCTAGAAGAAGCATTTGAGTTTTGCTGGAGCTCGTTGGCAGATGAACACAACACTTCACCAAAATCGACCAGAAGACACGCAAAATTGTACAAAGTTATCTTTGGAACCCTATGACTACCGGATTTATTACGTAAATGTTGATTTACGGCATCAGTATGGAATTTCTGCCGCTGAGTCGCAGACGTTCCTCCGCGCGGAACGCCCCCAGCGGCGAAGAGCGAGGAGAAACGGATGTTTTCGCAGGGCTAGTAGAGTTGTGAAGAAGATATCAGACAAATTTCTGTAGGGAGCACTAACCATAATAATTTATTAGGTGATTATTCAGACATGGCATTGAAAATCAAAGAAGTTCGCCCAATTTTGTCACGTACAATCCATGTCCATCCTTGCCATTCGTAGCTACAGACGACAGGAAACAGTTTCAAATATAGTCTTGAATGACAATGCTGGACCAATATTGTTATTTAAAAATAATACTGGACCAATATTTTTGGAATTCGATTGATCCGAAGACATGTTTTAGCGGTTTTAAAGGATAGCAAATACCGTGTCATAGCCCCTTTAAGGAGCACCTTGGCCTATTGAATTTCTGTTACTTCCTTGACTCTATATACAGTGGAGTGAACGCTTCTTGCCCCACACCGGTACCCAAAGCCAACTTGACTGTGTGTAACGGTGGAACCCAAGTTTGTTTATCAGGGGTAAGATTACACTCTGATGCTGTCTCTCTTGAAGATAAGTCACTCTTGTAGTAATCATGATATAGTAAAGTGAGGGTCATCAATAGGGTTTTCGGGATACGGGACTTCCTTTATTTGAAGCTCGGGATTTAAATGCAAAATCGGGGCGAGATTCGGGATTGACGGTATGCGCGGGAGGTGTGATGCCAAAAATGACGCTCGGTATTAGGGAATTTCGCGAAATTTCGGGTCGGGATTACGGAATTGAAGGACCCTATTGGGGACCCTCTAAAGTAAAGAAGCTGCATTTTCTTAAGTTAGCTTAAACAGGTTTTTACATGGTAGCAACTACAAATTGAGGCTATTAAAGGCTCTATTTTTCTTAAGAAAAACGTTTTATTGTGGCTGACAAAACTAAGTGGTATTCGGCTAATTAGTTTTTTTAAAATCTACGTTACAAGTACATATTTATGTAACAAAATGACTATAATAAGAACAAAAGAAGCACCAATCACATGGATTATTAAGCATAACATGTACTTAATAGGTTTTTGTATATAGGAGGTGTAACGGCTGAATTTGCGCCCCATGTCAGGGAATGCGAATTCCAAAATCCGGGAAAATTTGGCTTGTGGATTCTGGAATCCGGAATACAGCTCAAGGAATCCGGAATCTTACTAACGATTGAAATCCAGAATCCAAGTTCTACTGACAAAGATTTGAATCCAGTGCCTGGAATCTGGAATCCAAGGAAAAGAATTCGAATCCAAGACTGTCATGGATTCCTTATATGGGGCGAAAATTGTAGCCGAACTGGTTCTTGAAAACTACAATCGTGGACAAAATAAATGGAAAACCGAGACCCCACCTCCCCCCCCAAATCAAGGATGGGAAAATGGCGCGTTTTTGCCCTTCGCGCGGCTTCATGCTTGATTTGGCGGGGGGGGTGGGGGATGGGGGTTTGCTGTTCCATTTTTTTTGTCCAAGATTGCAGGTTATTACTTGTGGATTTTTACTGTATGCAAATTTTGTTGTTATTGTTGTTGTTTCACAGGAATGTAGTGGCTCTATTTGCCTGAGGTTTCAATTGTTGGAATGCCAATGTCAACAGGAGGAAAATCTCTGTGATCTGTGCTGCAAAAAAGGAGAAGACGGCGAGTGCAAACCCATAAGAGACATGAGTGTGTCAAATATCACGAATGCACTCCAGCAGTTCCCAGGCGCACCATGCGACAACTTCAACGGATATTGCGACGTGTTTCTCAAGTGCCGCGCAGTGGATGCCGATGGACCATTGTCTCGTTTGAAGAACAAGTTCTTTAGTAAAGAAGCTATCCTTGGTTATTTAGAGTGGATCAAGGAACACTGGTGGGCCGTACTTCTCATGGGTGTTGGGCTTATTCTACTCATGGCAGGTAAAATTTATCATTCCCTTGTTGTAGGTTTGGAAATAGAGAACTTTAGATTCTAAGAGCCTGCTTACATGAAGGTGGGAGACCCCAGGTAGGTGAGGTAACATGTGGCGGGTTACCCCACCTAACATGTAACGGTGATCACATAAAAAAAAACGAGAGATTATATGGACAGGCGGGTTACCCCACCTTAGCGGGTTACCTCACCTATCTGGGGACCCCACCTCCGTGTAAACAGGCCCTAAGACGAGGACGACAATGAGACTGTGATTTTCTTAGCAATAAGTAGTTCGCGCGCGTTATCCAGCATCATGTGGGACTTTACGATCCGAAGACGCGATGGCAGGGATTATTGTTACCCATTTATTTTATCAAAAGTAGGCGAACCCTCGTGGAGTTGAATTCCTAGGATCCTTATCCAAGTTCAGAAAGAGAAATCACGTGTTGTCGTCGCTTGTTAACGTCAAACATCCTTCACACAAAGTTTCACGTCGTAGTCTTGTAACATGAGAAGACACAAATGGCTTGAACTGTAAGTATCCCGGAGAGCTCCATACAATTCCTTATAATTTTGTTATAAGGAATTGTATGGAGCTTTCGAGGAGACTTTTCTTAATTAGCTTAGGCGCGGCGGATTTTGTCACGTATGATCAGCGCGAGGTGTTTTTCCCGACACCCTTCTGTCAGGAAAATGTCATCATAATTATGAAAGCAAAACAGACACGATCGCGTCGGCAGGCCGAAGCCGGCAAAAATATAAGGCTTTTCTTGTTCCATTTCAGGGGTCAGTTTTGTTTCGATCTGGTCAAAATCAGGTTTTTAGGTTGTAGGTAATAAAATATTGTCTTATTCTGTTCTCAGGAACCTTTAGAAAAAGAGATAATTGATTAGAGAAAGAAGCGTGAAAACGCATTTTGGAAGAAAATATTTTTAATTCCCGCAGCGATTTTGCGAAATCGCGTAGCGCAATATATTCAGTTTCTTCCAAAGCCGTCATGATTAAGCAGTGTAATGCCATCACAACTAAAAATGAATTTAGTTTGTATCGCAAAAGCTGCGAAAATAGAGATGAAAAAAAAACAGATCGGGAAAATTAATAAAATCACCAAGAAACCGTCTCGCGCTAGCTTTGTTAAACAAATCGTTGGTACGGTTTATTTAACCTAACCTGGAAAAGGAGACGTCTGCACGTAGAATACATTTCATCCTACATGTAGTTGTGATTTCCAGAACGGACCTCGGGAGCCTCATTGCCGTAATATCTTCCACACTACAGAAACCAAAGCAGAATCGCCCTGCTCGCGTGCTAACTTTCCGCTCCAATTATGACTATACGGTACCAGTGAAATGTTTCACAATTTAAAGCGGCCGAAACTTATTTCCATCAGCGCGTAGTTAGTCAGTTAAGCAATAATAATGCACAGCACTGTAAATAACACGGTTCTAGAATATCTGACGGCTTCGCGTTTTGTTCGTCGCTGCATGCGATTTAATCGCTTATAACCTAACAGAAAATGAAAATGTACCTGAAGGAAATACCGTGTATTACCTTACCTCAATTAATGATGTGTGTAAATTTGTCTTTTGCTATGGTTTTAGACAATACGATTTCTCCTGACTATCAATTTTGCGTCAAAACAAGCGCGATAATGAAATAGACGAAGTGCCATGGCATAGCACTTTATGACAAAGTTTTAACTGGAAAACTTGTTACCATCTGATGTACACCTGTATAGTCTATGTTTGTAAGCTCTGCCTAAAGAATCACTGGATTACACTGCACCCATGGGTGTGCCACCTAAAGTGCAGCCTATGTTTGTTAGCTCTACCTAAAGAATAACTGGGTTACACTGCACCCTTGGGTGTGCCACCTAAAGTGCAGCCTATGTTTGTTAGCTCTACCTAAAGAATAACTGAGTTACACTGCACCCATGGGTGTGCAGCCTATCTTTGTTAGCTCTACCTAAAGAATCACTGGGTTACACTGCACCCATGGGTGTACCACCTAAAGTGCAGCCTATGTTTGTTAGCTCTACCTAAAAGAATCACTGGGTTACACTGCACCCATGGGTGTGCCACCTAAAGTGCAGCCTATGTTTGTTAGCTCTACCTAAAGAAGCACTGGGTTACACTGCACCCATGGGTATGCCACCTAAAGTGCAGCCTATGTTTGTTGGCTCTACCTAAAGAATCACTGGGTTACACTGCACCCATGGGTGTGCCACCTAAAGTGCAGCCTATGTTTGTTAGCTCTACCTAAAGAATCACTGGGTTACACTGCACCCACGGGTGTGCCACCTAAAGTGCAGCCTATGTTTGTTGGCTCTACCTAAAGAATCACTGGGTTACACTGCACCCTTGGGTGTGCCACCTAAAGTGCAGCCTATGTTTGATGGCTCTACCTAAAGAATCACTGGGTTACACTGCACCCTTGGGTGTGCCACCTAAAGTGCAGCCTATGTTTGTTGGCTCTACCTAAAGAATCACTGGGTTACACTGCACCCATGGGTATGCCACCTAAAGTGCAGCCTATGTTTGTTAGCTCTACCTAAAGAATCACTGGGTTACACTGCACCCATGGGTATGCCACCTAAAGTGCAGCCTATGTTTGTTAGCTCTACCTAAAGAATCACTGGGTTACACTGCACCCACGGGTGTGCCACCTAAAGTGCAGCCTATGTTTGTTGGCTCTACCTAAAGAATCACTGGGTTACACTGCACCCTTGGGTGTGCCACCTAAAGTGCAGCCTATGTTTGTTGGCTCTACCTAAAGAATCACTGGGTTACACTGCACCCTTGGGTGTGCCACCTAAAGTGCAGCCTATGTTTGTTGGCTCTACCTAAAGAATCACTGGGTTACACTGCACCCATGGGTATGCCACCTAAAGTGCAGCCTATGTTTGTTAGCTCTACCTAAAGAATCACTGGGTTACACTGCACCCATGGGTGTGCCACCTAAAGTGCAGCCTATGTTTGATGGCTCTACCTAAAGAATCACTGGGTTACACTGCACCCATGGGTGTGCCACCTAAAGTGGAACCTATGTTTGTTACCTCTACTTAAAGAATCACTGGCTTACACTGTACTCACGGACGTTTGCCTCGCGCTCTCTTCAAAAACAAAAAAGCTATAGTCTGTTTGGCCAAAAATCAAGCTTTGTTTCCCCTAAAAATTGGACACCATATTACGGTCCCGAAAGACGTTAAAAGTTCCTCCATAATAGAAGAGTGTTTTGTTAGAGTTAATAAACGTTTGGCTTACATGAGTTTCAATATAAAGGTGCAAAAACTTATCAGCATAATTATAGCACACAAACATTGTCATCAAACTCCTGGCATGTAGCCTGAATAAGCCAAGCAAATATGAATAAAGCATATAACGAGAAATATTCGTCAAATGGTCTCGTTAAGTAAATTATACTTCACTTTGCGACAGAAATTTATCGTTTGTATCCGTGTTACGCATCGAAAAAGCGAAGAGTCATCGCATGACATTAGGTAACAGAGGTAATACTCACGAGTGTCACGAATTCCAATTCCATGATTTTTCGCCGAGTAACAAATTAAAAACTTCAATTCTTACCTTACAGTGGTCGGTTCATTTACCTTACATTTGCCAACACTAATAAACATGAACAAAACGATGAAATCCGGCACTCTTCTTTCAGAAGTAGCAAGCCGCATGAAGCAAAATCCACCGATGTGCGCTGCATTCTCACTACAAATATAAACATTTGTCGTGAAGAAAATACGACGAGGAGGAAAAAATGCCAGATCTTCGCCTCGGCAATGTATTCCAGCTACCAAGCCGGCGTATCTCCAGAAGGTGGACTCGAAGTGCGACAAACCTTGTGATTGTTTTAGGAGCCCTTTGCGCGCAAACTAATTTATTCTGGCGCGAAATGAAGATTAAGAAAATGTATCTGAAATCTAATACACGACAAGAAAATTTTCGCACTTTCGAGGAGCGCGACATATTAAATGGGATTAAGTCGGATTAGCTGCCCGCGGAGAAAACATCCCTGCGTGGGATGGTACTTCCAGTAAAAAGCCTCTGTGTCCTCTCATGAAGGGCAAAGAAATGTACCGGCACAAAAATGTGTGACGGACGTGCAAAGTTGTTGTTTTGCCTTTTAAACCTTTTGTGTTTTTACGTTCTCCTTGCCATCGAGACGTCGGATGGTAAAGTCCCTGTTTTGGTGGGAAAACGCGGTAGCCGTCGTCACTCTACTATTCGTGTTAGCGAGGATGTAGTAGTGGCGGAAACAAAGTATTAAATAGAGTGACCGTGCTAACTTTCCTGGTGAAGAAAAGTGCTTCAGTTAACCAGCTCTTTGATTATTTAGACTTAATTTGTGTGTACCGTGACGCCTTCCATTGATTGGCTCTTATGCTAATGACATCAGCAAAGATTAAACAATATGTGCGATTTAATAATAATAATAAGAAGAAATAATAATAATTTATGTAGCGCTATTCAGCCACTCTTTCATAGCACTTTGCAATGATTATATACAGCTATTTCGAGAAAGGTTGTCGCAAAAACTGTGCACTCGACCATCCCGAAAGGTAATATGGGATATGATCAATGCACTTTTCCTGACACCGTAGCTGTCGAATCTACTTATGTTGCTTTCCTTTAGCACTCGCAAACATAGGTGCATGGCTTCTCGTGCAATTCTTTGAAATTTCTTCGAAAAACTCAAAATCACCCACAATACCTTTCGGGATTGTCGCGTGCACTTTTTCCGACAACCTTTCTTGAAATAGCTGTATGCTAAGGTAAAAACTAAAACCATACCGAGATGAATTAATTACAAAGCTTAAAAATATTAACTCATGTACAAGAAATAAATGTAAAAAATCTGACATCTAAAAATTTACCAAGACAGATTTACAGGTAATTAAATTGTGACCTTTTGTTTTTTTGTTGGTTTTGAACGTCAAGAAATGAAATGTTTGGCTGCAGTGTATGGAAAAAACTTTGGATGGGTTGCGAGTTAAAATCTGTTCTCTCATCTGTCTTTTGCGCCCACAGGTTTCATTAAGTTGTGCAGCGTGCACACGCCAAGCAGCAATCCCAACCGGAAGCCAGCTCGTCAGCTGACTCTACGACGTCAACCACCGCGCAACCAGCGTAACCCAAGAGCTCGTCCACAGGGAAACCAGGGAGGGAGAGCAAATCCACGTCATGCTCAAGGTGACTTTGGGTATGAAGACCCCCCTCCCTACCCTGGAGCACCAATGGAAATGCACGGGAGTAGGCGATGAGATATATTCAAGCACGAGTCTGGTGTTCGTGGATTCGCACGCGATGAAAGGATGGTCTTTGTTGACATGATTATTTGAGCACCTATAGGACAATTGCACAATGACGTCATTTTAGTACAACTACCAGAATCCTTCAGTTTGTTGTCTTCTCGTGCAAATTAGGGCAAGAGTTCTTTAAACCTCAGCGGGATTGACGGATTTAAATAAGAAAGCAAACTCGAACTGAATTTTGGTAGTTGTAGTCATGTCGTCATAGTGAAAATGGCCTATTTAAAAGCATTAAGGTTTTGAATATTTTGTGTCCAGCTCGCAAAAGTATGCCCTTTTATGAGTGTAAAGGCTTTTTTAGAAAAACGGTGGTTATTAGGTATTTAATTGTTTCAAATATATAAAGCTGAAATGTGCTCTATTAGGATACTTGAAGAGTGTCAACAAAGATCACCTTAGTTAATTTATAGGTGGACTTGCCAGGTGAAAGATGCAGTCAAAGTCCTATGTTAAGTGGTCATCCTTGAGGAATAGACAACTGACCGCTGAATACAGGTTGAACGTTCAATAGAGGTAAAAACAATAAAACTTAGTTGATGGGACTGGTTAATGAAGGGTGACTGCTTAATACAGGGTTGACTGTAAGCTTTTTCCGCCTCTAAGCCCTGATTTCAGCCAAGAGGTTATTGTTTGACTGCTCTTTAATTATGCATTTCGGTCCCTCGCAGAAATTTAAAGCCACACCTTATACCTCAGAGCTTAAGGGAAAATTGTTTTTCACTTTGGAATCTTGGTTAAAGTTTTGTTGTTGCTGAAAAGTTTTAAACTGTTGGTTGAGATTAGGGCTGCAAGGTATAAAAATTGTTAATGTTCACGTTAGCTAAGAATATAAAACTATGTTGAGCTTTTTTTAGGTAAAAAAAAAAACGATAAAAAGATAATTGTACTCTCCGAGGTTCCATAGGCATTAGTACACATTTATTTCGTAAAAATTAATTTTGATTTGATACACAACGTATTTTCCTAGCGATGTATTATATTTTCCCTGCTTGGTCAATTTTGCGGGTCTGTAAAGCACGATTTCTCTTGATTTGATGTGATTGCGAGGTTTAGAGCAGAAAAAAAATCATATGGTTTTCCAAACAGTATGACTGAGTCTGCTGTACTAGCTTCTACTGCTCTTGCTGAAACTGCCCTGGATTGCTTTGAACAAGGTTTAGTGAAAGTCCCGTGTTTATCGGTTGTACCCTCGTGGAATGGCCATCTGAACGCTTAATACAGGTTGACCGTTGAATAGAGGTTAAAGCTATAAAAAATTACTTAGTGGCCATGTGTAACTGTCCACTTAATACAAGTTTCACAGTACTTAAATGTACATTCAAACCTGGTGACGTGAAGCGTTCACGACACTCGTGGGAGATGGCCAACTGACCTATACGCGTAATATATGATTAGCTTAGAAAAATTCGTTTGTTGGGTGGAAAGGCAGGCTCTTTTAACCCGTCGTTAAGTTATGTTATTGTTACAAAAATGCGTAGAAGAGGTTAGCTATTTAGAATCATTCATCCTTTTTTTGGAAATTCACACTCTGCTCTGAGTTGGAGGGAGATAAAGCAAAAGAAACGAATTATTCATCCCCCGATCCCTGAATCTCAATGCAATTTCTTGTGTTTTATACCCCTCACTCTTAGAGCCAAGTATGACGTGTAAATAATTCGAAACTGGCAGACCTATTGGTATTCGACATATAGACTCAAAGTCGCTGCACAGTTAACAAGAAGATCTGGAAGCGCTCCTTTTTTCTTGTGAATAGTCCGAACTCGAAACTGAGCCAGTTTCGAGTTCGCTCTGACCGCTGAATAAAAGCTGTGAAGACGCATTTTTGCAGGGTTAGCCTCCTTCTTAAATGAATGTATTAACAAGTTTTAAGGAGAAACCCTCTTTACAAATCTGTGTATTGGTTATTCTCAAATTTCGCCACCTGCAGGTATTTGGGACTATTTCACGTTAGGTCGAGGCTAACCTTGTATCAGTGAATTTGTATCATTAGTTAGTCTCATTAGTTTTTTTTATTCAGCGGTAATTTTTGGTACAAGAAAGGATCGTTAAGCCTCAAATGACTTTGATCGTGAGATTTCGTCCCAACCAGCTTTTAATTAGTCTCCTTGTTAGAAGTTGACGAATGATTAATCTAGTTTAATGCAGCGGTAACAGTGCTCTCTGTTAAGCTACGATAAAACGCGGGCAACACAAACATGCAACTTGTTTTGCAGCATTGCTGTTAAACGAGTTAAATGGCAATGTTGTGCGTTTTACTTCCCACGAATCAAACCTGTCTTGCAACGAACCAGGTTTTTGCAAGGTGCGTGAATACTGACTTTTGTTTGGATTGAAAATTACGCGGGGGGGAGTTACGTCATTTGTTGCAAACGAGTTTGCCTTCGGTCCGAAAAACGCGCAACATGTAGAGATTTTGTTGCAAAAAGTAGAACTACTCTCTGCTTTCCGCAACAAATTTTCGCATCCTGAAACAACCGGAATTGTTGCTGAATACAGATTTGAACGTGGCTAGTGAAACGCACTCGTTGCACGTTTTTGTTGCCCGGTTTTACCTTACTTTTACCGGAAAAATAAGCAATTAGTAGGCGGCGAATTGAACAGTTAAGAATTTCATTTGTGCTATTTTTCTTTTGTTTTGTATCAAAGCTCAGGTCATTGTCAGGTAACGGGGGGTCATTCTGTTAGTGACAGCCCTAACAGTGTGATCCAGGCAGTTGTGTTTCTAACTCGAACGGTTTCAAAAATCAAGCTCAGGTTGAAAATATACTAGAAAGGATCACTACTTATTTCTTTTAGCCACAGACATATTCAAAGTAGACAGACTGCAAATTATCTTAGTTGCTAAAAATATATATATCTACGTGTCGCAACTGTTCATCAGTTGGATGCCTAAAATGATTTATTTTATGTCATCGTATTCATAGATATTTAGGTCAGATGATACAAGCTCCATCCAATTTGTGCTTTTTGTTATGGCTCGTGTTGGTGTGGAAGAGAACTAATAATTACACGACTTTTTTTGGTTTCCTTTTCTATAGTTCATTTTTTTTGAGTCTTCAAAAATTATATTGAATTTCATTAAGCGGTTTGATGCTCTGGAAGTCTCTTTCTCTTCTAAAGCACTTTTTTACGCAATATATTGCTTGTAATCGAATTTAAATAAACGTTTGTACAGTATCTTGTTTGATTTCGTTGTTTCTTACTGGAACCGTTTGACGAATAGGGCGGGAGTGAATTCCCCCTCCTCCTCCCCACGGAAAGGGAGGGGAGGGGCGATTAAAATGAGTTGAAATGACTTAAGTGGCCCAGACATGGATAACTAACTCACAGCCTTTGCTTATCCTAGATTTGGAGTTCGGTGCTCAAAGTACTAGGGGCCTTAAGCAACGACGAGGTCAACAACAACGTCAGAAAAACAATTGGTTTTATGAGCAAAGCAACTGCTCTGCACGTGCATCACACTTATGAGTATTCTTTGAAGTTCACTGCACGACTACGACGTGAAACCTCCGAATGCGACGTTTTATGGAGGACGTGGACATACTGCGACAGTTTTTCCCTTCTCTATTTGAACATGGATAAAGCCCTTAAGAATTCAATTCCAGGAAAAGTCGCCTAGATTTGACGAATTAGACGCGATAAAGCGGGAAAGGTTGCAAATTCATTTTTTTTAGTGATGCTTTCACTGCCGTCGTGGTCGTCGTTGCTTAAGGTCCCTACTTTGTGGAACAGTAAACAAACCGGTTGAGTTAATCATTTTCACTAGAACTGTCAACTTTACATAATTATCCGAGAATGCAAAGCAAGTCACTGTAGGCTGTACACAAAAAGAGGTTTTTAACATTGTTTTATTGTAGAATTGTGGTTTGTAATGGTAAGGAAAATGTCTCAGTTCACATGAATATGAACAAGTATTGATCAGAAACATCAAGAGAAACTTCTTCAGATAAATAAAAGGATTAATCTTTACTGGAGTTAGAGTGATTTTACTTGAACCGTGAAATAGGTAGGAGAAAGAGAGGATAAAACTCAGAGAATTAATCCCCCATATAGGCCCTCTACCCATCGTAATCCCTCTTTGGGTTATTTTGGAACGTACCGGATTTCCTGCAGATAATATTTCCTCGCGCATTGCGTGGAAGTTTCGTAGAGGGGCGAAGGTGCAAAACATGTCGAGATTGCAGGAGTTGCGATGAATGCGAAACAAAAGAGGATAAAGAGGGTTTATTCTCCCTTAATGCATGCGAACTGAGAATAGTTTTTCAAGCATGTGTCAATCGGCATTGGCATAGAGAATCAGAAAATCGTCACTGTGCGAATTTCACGAAGGAAATTAAGTTTGAAAGGGTTGACAGGCTAAACACGACTCCGATAAGCTTGTGATAGTGTGAAACGCCTTAGATTATGCTTTAAAACAACAACGCTTATCGTTTTTTTCTAGCACGTAGGTTATTTTTACACCCCTAAGCGAGACGACGAGCATCCCCACCGCTTTCATATGCAGAGTCCCCCCCCAAGAGCCAAGCGTCCTTCGTGTCGAACAAAGTCAAGTGAATGGGACAATGCATGCCAGTGTTTCCTATTATATATATCATTTGCATATCATTAATTAAGGGATGAGATTTACAATTCAGATGGAACGTGAATAGTACAGTGTGTCACTGTCGACTGACGACGTTTTACACGAGTTTATTATTATTTTCAGAATCACTGTTCTCAAAGCATGGCAGCTAACAATGTTTTCTTTGTTTGCTTTGTGCTCCTTTTCAGTTACGCATCGTCATATCGTAAGTTAAAGAAGTTATAAAATCTTTCCGTAACAATGGACAAGTTTTGCGAAGCGAACACATAAACAGGTACATCATATATATGTATATAATGTTCATGTTTTCGTTCCACAGGACGACCGTTGAGTGATTACATAAACCACTACGAGACATTGAACTATGACA